AGACACTTCCTCCTGTGAAGTCATCAGAAGGAGAAAGCAGACTGAGTATGGCATCATGGCATTATTTTCTTATCCTGAAATTTCCTGTCCATTCTGCTCGCAACAGTTTTTCATTAACTTGAACTTATTCTGAAATTGACGTGCACTTTGATCGTGGTTCAGGCTCTTCTGACGAGGATGATATGTTAATTGACGATGTACCAGAATTAGTCTTGAATAGGACTCTGGAGAAGCAGATAACAAATGCTATAGACTCACGTTTTCTTCTGCAGTTAGTATGTACCCATTCCTGTCATATGAAACTGCATTAAGTGCTATTTCTCCTCTGGATTAAGTGATTCTTTAATGTTAATCTAAGTAATTTTATTGTCATCCGTGCAGACAAATGTTTTGTTCCAGCAAGTTTCACTTGATACACAGTCATATGACGAAGATAAAGAAGTGTTAGCTATTGGCACAGCGAGTTCTTTTCTGTATGCAGCATTCAACACTTTCCCTCTTGAGCGTATCATGACGATTTTGGCTTATAGAACCGAGCTTGTAGCTGTGTTGTGGAATTATATGAAGCGATGCCATGAGAACCAGAAGTGGTCATGCATGCCTAAACTCCTAGCTTATCTTCCAGGGGATGCTCCGGGTTGGCTATTACCTCTGGTTGTTTTTTGTCCTGTTTATAAGTAAGATTTACTTGATTTAATGCAAACTTTTCTGTAGTATTACTTGATAGTCGCTCCCGTATGACTGTAGGTAAATTAACGTTGAGGGTGGTTTAATACTAAGCTGGTTTAACATTGTTGTTGCTGATCAGGCATATGCTGACGATAGTCGACAATGAGGAATTTTACGAACGCGAGAAGCCATTGTCGCTACAAGATATCAGGCTGCTTATCGTTATTCTCAAGCAGGTAAGTGTTTTTGACGGATCCCATTAAGCATTCTTGCAACTTTGACGTTAAGACTTTTAGGAGATATGATTGTAGATACTTGTAGAAAACTTATAGATGGGACATGACTTGGGTAGCTGATGCCTTAGATGGCTAACCGTAACCCAAAAATGCTTAGCTAGATTGGCTTTGCGTTTTTATATGGTTGCGTTGTGGCAGGGCTGTTCATATAGTGTGCCATGCTATTTATTTTCCAATTATTTTTGTGTATGATCGTCCATTTTTTTCAGGCTTTATGGCAGTTACTATGGGTGAATCCGCTTACGCAACATAACACTGGGAAATCTGTCTCGAAAGACCTCTCGAAGAAGAAACCTGTTGACTTGATTCAGAACAGGGTTGGGGTTGTAGTCTCTGAGTTACTTTCGCAGGTATGTGCTGTAAAGAAGCTAACAATCCTTGACCAATCGTGGTATTTTTACTCTAATTCAGTATAACTTGACAAAGGTCATTGCTTTGTTGATGAAATATTTCCGCAGTTGCAAGATTGGAATAACCGGCAACAATTTACTTCCTCGAGCGACTTCCAAGCTGATGCAGTCAATGAATATTTCATCTCTCAGGTGACTACTACACTGCAATTTCGTTTATTGTTTGTGACATGCCAACACTATTAAAGTTCGTCATGTATCATTTTGAATGATTTGGTCTTAAATTGTCCCCTACCATGGCTGATATTGTTTCCTTTATCCAGGCCATAACGGAAGGTTCGAGGGCCAACTACATACTGATGCAAGCTCCTTTCCTGATTCCGTTTACAACCAGAGTCAAAATATTCACAGTGAGTAGCTGTTAGGATTTATTTATCTTGTTGATGATTGTCATTTTTTTCGTCTTGAAGAACCTAAGATAGATAATTAACATATACTTGCATGAGTAATCTTAAATAAATAGTAGATATAATTAGATGTACTTGTTCCCTAATTACTTTTCTTCGGCTGCGTTTACTTGCCGGACATCATTTGTAGACACAATTAGCAACAGCAAGGGAGAATCATGGATCTCAAGCCATATTTGCTCGAAATCGGTTCAGAATTCGAAGAGATCACATCTTGGAAGATGCGTACAATCAAATGAGTGCATTGTCAGAGGATGACCTTCGTGGATCCGTAAGTTCTCTCTCTTGCCTAATATTGTCTTCAAGCAATTGCTTGTTCACAGTTGAAACAGATGCATATATTCTGTCTTATGTCTATTATTTGGGTTTCTTTGCAATATTTATAATGAAAATAACTACCGGCTGTAGATTCGAGTGACATTTGTCAATGAACTCGGAGTTGAGGAAGCTGGTATTGATGGTGGTGGCATTTTCAAAGACTTTATGGAGAAAATTACCCGAGCAGCCTTTGATGTGCAATACGGGTTGTTCAAGGTCGCATGTCTAGTTTTACTCACTCATGTTTTTGTGAATTAATAATTGACCACATTCCATCATGTTTGGATGTAGTCTCGTCTTTCAATCTTTTCTGAATCTTGTACATGCTATCTTTCAGGAGACCTCTGATCACATGCTTTTTCCTAATCCTGGATCAGGAATGATACATGAACAGCATCTCCAGTTCTTTCATTTTCTCGGCTGTCTTCTAGCAAAAGTATGGTATTTGATTGGTTACCAATCTTTCTTCCTTGAAGCTTTTATACATAGGAGAGAAAGAAAACCATTGTGCTTGCATTGTACGCCACATTTGTTATTTTTAATACATTATTGGTTCCTCTCGCCATGTTTTCATGCAAATAGAACTAGTAGGGGTATAATTGTTATGTATAAGACTTATCAAATGTTTTTCCTGTTATCTCGTTTCAGGCAATGTTTGAAGGGATTCTAGTTGATATACCATTTGCAACGTTTTTCCTCAGCAAATTGAAACAAAAGTACGGTAAATTTGATTTTCTACCTTCAACTTCCATTCCTTTCATCTGTTTATCACGCCCGCATAAACCTTGTGAACACGTCGTAAAAACTTCTGTTTTTCGCTGGCTAGGTACAACTATTTGAACGATTTGCCTTCCCTGGATCCTGAGCTGTATAGGCATCTTATATTTCTAAAGGTGAGTTTTGCGCAGCATTCTCTTTTCTCGTTGCTTTGTGGAAACGAGAGATGGCTAAATTCTTGTTGCTTTCTCCACGTGTTTATGTATTACAACTCCATTATGATACTTGCAGCGTTATAAGGGCAATATCTCAGAGTTGGAGCTTTACTTTGTCATTTTGAATAATGAATATGGAGAGAGGGTGGAGGAAGAGCTACTTCCAGGGGGCAAAGACATGCGAGTTACAAATGAAAATGTTATAACCTTCATTCATCTGGTTTCCAATCATCGGTTGAATTTCCAGGTACGCTGGAACCACTTTCCTCTGCTTCATCTTATCATCCTTCGGTCACCCCGTAAAGTTGACAACTTCTGGTATCATCTTATTATATGGTTGCAGATACGCCAGCAGAGTTCTCATTTTCTGAGGGGGTTTCAGCAACTCATTCCAAAAGAATGGATCGACATGTTCAACGAACATGAGCTTCAGGTGCCAATGAATAATTATTCTCTAGATGGTTAAAACTGTTATTGTCCTTGCTTTGGTAGTTGTTTCGTCAAGGAGCATGAACAGAGAAATTTTCAGTCAGACAACTATGCTCATTACCTAATCGTCTGGTGTACCTGCCTCTGTGTGTTTTGGTTGCAGGTTCTCATATCTGGTTCAGTGGATAGTTTGGATATTGACGACTTGCGAAACCACACGAATTATGCTGGAGGCTACAACGCTGTGAGTTGTTCTTCGCTGTCAGCCAAAAATGCCATTTTGTGTTTGAGGCATTGTTATGTATGATTACTTCGCTGTGTTCTTGACAGGGACATTATGTGATTGATATGTTCTGGGAAGTAATGAAAAGCTTCTCAACCGAAAACCAGAAGAAGTTCTTAAAGTAAGACAAGTTCCACTTTTATTATCATAAGAGTCTATTTTTGTTTTTCTTCAACGGAACCGAGAGGTAACTAACATTTACCATCTTTAATTCCAGATTTGTGACGGGCTGTTCAAGAGGACCGCTGCTTGGTTTCAAATACTTGGAACCTGCATTCTGTATACAAAGGTAACTTACACAGACTCAAGATTGTTTCTTTGAATCTTGACTTGCAGTAACACACAATCATAAATGATCCATCAACGTTGCGAATGTGTTTCAGGGCCGCGGGTAGCGCGAGTAATGAATCGGTTGATAGACTACCGACATCAGCCACTTGCATGAACCTTCTCAAGCTTCCGCCGTATCAAAGGTTTTGTTTTTCCCCTCTCATAATCCTTCTTCTCTTTGTCTTGTTTTAAGTAACTTGATCATCATTTGTCTTAAATAACTTATCTTGCCCTTGATGGTACAATTGGAGAAAGCAAATTATAACAGTTTCTGTCAATGATGCAGCAAAGAGCAACTCGAGACCAAATTGATGTACGCCATAAGCGCAGAAGCTGGTTTTGATCTGAGCTAAAGAAAATGCCTTTTGTGACTCGAGAAAAAGATGATGGCAATGAATGGGGCAGTTTACGATAAGAGGAAGAATCAAAAACACGTTTCTTGTGAATCTGGAAGAATAATTCGTAGGGCTGAGCTGGAAGAATAATACATTGTCTTGGATTCTGTTTTTTTTTTTTGTAACATTTTGTGATGATGGTAAATATCTCGAGTTCATGAGTACATATTAAAGGAAACTTACTGTTTACAACTTTATATTACTCTGGTTGGAGAATAAACGACCCAACTCATCAGATTTGGAAGCAAACCGAAATCAGAAACCCTGACAATCATACAATTACAATCATATCGTACTTGATTTACTTCTCAAGAACGTACATATGCAATTAGATAGAATTTAAAACCATATGGTTTGATTGATAAGTCACGATGCATGATATTTACCTCCAAGGCTCCAACATATACAATTTGAATAAAGACAAACATAAAGACATTTCAAATGTATTAATTTATTGGTTTTTGTAAGGTAATGACATTTTCATATGTGTTATTTTTTGGCCATCTTGCAGTTCTTGGAAGATAAAAGAATCTAATTCGCCAAAGCGCTGGAGAAAACATTAGCAACGGTACACATTCTTACAAACAACAAATTGCGTTGCGGCACATAAGCCGGCACATTTGTCCGTCCATCAAGCTGACCTGCGCACGTAGATATACTAAAAACGGCTTTCAGAGCTCTATAAGATGCTAACAGGTACGACTTAGAGGTGGCGAACCCTTCAGCTTCTACGATCGCTTGAATGGCTGTCTCATAACCCGTCACACAATTTCCATACGGAGCCTTGAGCGTTGGATCAGCCGTGGTTCTCGCTAGGTCTTTCATCATCCCTAGGTTCTTGTAGGCAAACAAATGAGTCCTCACGATGACCAACTCGACAAGACCACTCAAGTCGGTTTTGAAGGTTTCTGGATCAAAGGTTAACCAATCGACGCAAAAGTTCTTGTGATAGACTGCTGAATCTGAACAGATTTGGTCAACTAATTGCTTTGTGACTTTGTCACTCGGAGCAAAAGATTTAGCCAAAGGGGTGAATGTGATTGATAGGACAACGAGAAGAGGAAGAATTGAAAATAGGTTTCTTGTGGCGCAAGAGAAGGCCATTTTGAGGAAGAGTTGTATGTGTGTTTCTTAGATTTGGGTAGTGCCTATTCCTTAGTAATCATATATCATCTATATATATAAGAGACCACATGAAAAATATATTCAACGACTTAATTATGGTAACGCACTTTGTCTTTAAGGGACTTAACTCTACATTTCACCTTTATAAAATAAAATTAGTAAAGATAGTCTTGTCAAAATTTGCTTATTGCTTGCTAATATACATAGTGTTTGTGTTGACAAAAGTGTAACTCCTATTTGGCAGATTTTATCCTAGTGTCAGTACTGAAATTCATATATATATATATATATATATATATATATATATATATATATATATTTTTTTTTATTTTATTTTGATGAGGTCAATAATTCATAAATTTTGGCAATTGAATTTATGAAACATTAAACCCCGGATGGTTACCTAATAATACTAATATAATGGTAATGGTAATGAAATGTTGACCCGATTTTGTTTCTTTAAGTAAATTGTTGACTGACGTCAAAAGAAAAGAGAGTAAATTGTTGACTCAATATATATACGTATGAAAGAAGGATATGTATTTATTGAATTTTCATTTTTAGTGTGACAGTTGAAATGACCTGTGTCTCTGTTGATTTCTATATAAAATAATTGGTGAAACTGAACCTAATATACAATACTGATATTATATGGTAATGAAATCAGTGTTGATCCGATTTTGTTTCTCTAAGTAAATTGTTGACTCGATATATATAATTGTGAAAGAAGGAATGCGGAATTGTATGTATTCAGGAGTCAATGTATATCTGTAAACTAGCTGCTTTATTAAGTGATCTCGACTTGTAAAGAATGAAAATGTATTATGTACTGATGTACATATGATCGGACTGAATAGTTTAGTTATGGATTTGTGTGTGCATCCCATTTCCCATATAATTGTTACAACTTACAAACATTTATAAATGATCATTTATAAATAACAGCCCTCTTTTCAAAAAAGAAAAAAAAACATTTATAAATGATCAAACTTTCAGCTTCAAGCAATAATACATGGTAATGAATTTTATTGGTCCCCACGAAAATAATACGACGCACGTATTTGCACGTTGCTCTTTCAATAATAAGATCCTCTTGTAGATAAGATCTTCACCGTCCATTTTACTGCGACGTATATATATTATCCGGAGAGAGAGAGAGAGAGAGAGAGAGAGACAACGCAGGGAAAAAAGAAGCAAAAAGCATCCAAAATGGCAGAAGCGAATGGACCTGTGAAGCATGTACTTCTCGCCAAGTTCAAAGATGACGTCAGCCCAGAGAAAATCGAAGAACTCATCAATGGCTACGCCAATCTCGTCAATCTCATCGAACCTATGAAAGCTTTCCACTGGTAAATCTCTCTCTCAATATTTCGCTTTGATTGTGATCAGATTTACTATCATGAGCTAACAATTGATCCGATCTGCTTCTTAGTGTATGGAATATGATCGAAATGCTTAATTTTGTCATAAAATCAAACAGAAATTGATGAATTTGACGAGCTCTGTAACTAAGACTAAATTGATTGTATATAAAAATTTTAGGGGAAAAGATGTGAGCATTGAGAATCTGCATCAAGGTTTCACACACATCTTTGAATCATCATTCGACAGCAAGGAAGCTGTAGCTGAGTACATTGCTCATCCTGATCACGTCAAATTCGCCAACTTGTTCTTAGGCAGCTTGGATAAAGTTTTGGTTATCGACTACAAGCCTACCTCTGTGTCTCTCTAATCATCTTTGCAGCTGCAAGTTTTTCACTTTTCATCATCTTTTGATCTTTTGAGTTTATGGTGTTGTTGTTGTTGTTGTTATGATGTTTCTGCGAATCTCTTTCTTGCTTTGTTGTATTAGACATTGATGTGTAAACGATCATCAGTTTTACTTGATAATGGAGTGTTTTGGATTTCTATCTTTTGTGATAATCAAGTTGCAAAGAAACCAGATTCTTGATTGTATATGTATAAAGGGAGATTGAAAGAATCAAGCCCATTTTGTTTTGTTTTTTTATCTCATCATGTTGGAGATAACAAGAACAATGCCACAAATATTCTGAAAATCACCACTGTTCTTAACAGTAGAAGGATCGGCTTTGACCTTGGCAAGATCATCTTGACATGTTGTAGATCCTTCCATAGCTGCTGAAACCTTAATGTTCAGCCCCGGGCCATCGCCTGAGTCTAGGCTCTGCTTAGCGTCGTTGAGACTGCTCATCGCATTCTTATACTGCTCTGCGCACGACGTGTACCCTTTCTTCAGAGTTGGGTTCGTTTCTGTCTTGACTAGAGACTGGATTTTCGTTAAAGCTCCTGATGCATTTGCTTGCGCTGAACCGAATGTGATCTTTGCAAGCGTTTTGATATCAGCAGTCGAAGTCTTTGGGTTTGATTTCATGTAGTTCGAACAGAAGGTTGGGTTTTTGGCTTTCGCGCAAATCGCGTTTATGTCTGCCTTTTGCGCGTTCAAGGAACCAATCGTTAGAAAGAACATCAGACAAGACACAAAAACATTCTTGTTCCTCATGTATGCTGTCATCTTTGGTTACTTCTTTAGGGTTCTTGGGTAAAGTTCTTCCCTTATTATGCTTAAGGTTACATATTTATAGATGCTTTTAATTGATTGCTTCCACTAGAAGTAATTATAGAAGTTCTTGGACAGGATTGTTGTTGTTTCTGATTCGTAGTTAGACCACAAGTCTTAATATAAAATTATAGGAAAACTTTGCTATTCTTAGATATTGAGCAGAGAGAGTCGTTTGTTATCTTATCTGATTAGTATTATATTCTTGTAACTTGCTTTCTTGAATTTTATTCTCTATGTAGATATGCACTCAATAATACTCCCTCGGTTTCAAATATTTTGTCATTTGTGAAAACGTATGTGAAATGTATTTTAAAAATATATGAGATACATTTATGCAAATGACAAATAATTTGAAAGGGATGAAATATAATGACAGTGAATTTATTCATTTAGTATATATTGATGTCTACGTTACTACACCAAGAGTTAAATGAATTGTAAAGTTGTGCCATCTTGCAAAGTGAATGAAACATATAAGAATCATAACGCCAAAAGGTGGGCGAAAACATTATCAATGTCACACATTCTTTCAAACATGTAATTGCGTGGGTAAACGTAAGGAGGAGTTCTTTTTCCTTCAAGCAGACCTTCACACGTAGATATACTATTAGAGGCATTAAAAGCCGCATTGGATGCTTCACGGTAATTCCCAGTGCTCGCAAAACTTTCAGCTCCCTTGATGGATCTAATGGATAATTTATAATATGTCACACAAGACTCATATGAGTGTGCGAGATCCGGATCATTCGTGGTTCTCGCTAAGTCTTTTGTCATCTCTAGGTTCTTGTAGCCCAAGGCTTCCGTCTTTTGGATGACCATACCGACAAGACCGCGCAAGTCGAGGGTGAACGTTTTTGGGTCGGAGTTTAGCCAAGCGACGCAGAAGTGTTTGTAAATCGAAGGTTGTGAGCAGAGTTGGTCAACTAGTGCTTTTGTGACTTTGTCAGTTGGAGAAAAATGTGAAGACGAAGGAGCGATTGATGAAGACAAAGGGGTGATTGATAGAAGAACGATGACAAGAGGAATAATCGGAAACACGTTTCTTGTGACCCAAGAAAAAGCCATTGTCTTGGATGTGGAAGTAATTAAAACGTATTTATGTGATGTTGGGGAGTGCGTATAGGTTAGTAATATATATTATACATTGTTCTTGGGGTGGAAAGTGTAACTCCTGTGGTAAGGTTCGATTTCATTTCATTATTATTGACTATTGAGTGGTTTAACGAAATATTGACCCGATTTGTTTCTTTTAGTGAATTGTTGACTCATCTTAAACTTTGAGGGGATATTGGATTGGTGATTTAGGAGGATTTCTTTTTTCAGATCATCCCTTATTGGATTAGTATTATTTTAAATCACTCAAAATTCAAGGTTATTGAATTCATCATTTGTGCAAATGCTTTAAAATCCCACCTTATTGGAAAATTAGGATTTCACTAATAATATTGTAATCTTTACGGCAATTGATAAGAAATTTTAACATTGTGCCAAACTATGTCACATTCATATTGTTTTGATGGTTGGCAACTAAAAGAACCCATTATGCATAATTAAAATCCAAAAAAAGTGTATGAGAACTAAGATATCTCTTTATTAAGTTAGTAATATCACTATTTTAAATAAAAAATTACGGACTATTGAGTATATTTGAGTATTTGACATCAGAAAAAAATGAGTATATTTGAGCACTCACATTCAAATTTGATGATCCACCACCATTTCTGGAAGATTGTAACATCCGTAGACCAAAGAATTGTTATTTTTCTTTGGTGTCGGGCGATACAGGGTGGTGTCGATGGTTAAAATCCAATTCCGGTTCAATTTGAGTTGGTTTGGACCGGTTAAGGGCTTGGAAACCCTTAGTTCACTAAATAAAACTGCGCAGCCGCTTTCTTCTTCTTCTTTCTTTGTCATTTTCTGAGCGAAAAACTTGAGGAAGAGAGATTGAAGGCGATTTGGTGTTTGTGGGATCGATCCGAGGCTGTTCTTCGTCGATTTGAGGCTTTGGTTCGTGTTGGTGGCTGCTGCGTGGTGTTTCTTCGTGTTCTTCGTCACTGTTCATCATCTCCTTTGGTTTCCCCCTTTTCAATCCGAAAATCCGAGGTGAGTGCATGACTGGGTCCGTGATTGCTAGGATTGTGTTGTATGCTTGATTGTGTGTTGATTTTGTGGTGTATTGGTGTTTGATTTCAGTGTTTTGAGTTTAATTGTGATTTCATCGTTTCGGGTACTGTTCATTCGTCGTTCTCTGTGTTTTGAATCTCAGTGTCGGGCGACACCAAGTTTGGTGTCGGTCGACACAAGAAGATGGTGCGACCGAGATCAAGCTGGTGTCGCTCGACACGGGCCGGTTTAGTTGGGTTTAATTGGTTTAAGTGAATTTAATGGTTAACTCGGGATTTAATTAATTTATGACTATTTAATTAATTAATTGGTTTAAAATAATTAATAATGGAAAATTATTATTAAATTATTAAAATCATTTAATAATTGAGAATTTGAGTTTAATAATTATTAAAATTTATAATAATTATTTTAAATTGCTAGTAATTGCGTAAATGGCCGTAGACAGGGTGATTGCCTCACTAAGTATTTATTATTAAACTAGGGGTGATCCGCGCTTCGCACGGGGTTTTAAATTGTTGTGTTAATTTTATTGTTTTTCCGCAAATTGAAATTATTTTTATAGTTTATCATTGTTTCAAAATTATCATACACATATTAATTAAAAATAATTATGGTTAAAACAACTTATAAAAAATAAAATAAATTGGGCTTATGTGTGTTAATAAAGAGTGATAGTTATGCATGGAGAATTTAAGGATGCGTTTCTCAGTTCTTAGAATTGAATTGTGTAATTAAGATGGTATTGAATTGAGTTTTTAAATAAATGGTCATGAAAAAGCAAGTTGAGAGAAAGTTGTCACCTTCCCGTCTTATCTCATCCCGTTCCATGCGTGGTGTTTCTTCGTGTATGCTTGATTGTGTGATTGCATTCTTGATTGTTTTGAATCTCAGTGTTGGGCGACACCAAGTTTGGTGTCGGTTGACACAAGAAGGTGGTGCGACCGACATCAAGCTGGTGTCGCTCGACACGGGCCGGTTTAGTTGGGTTTAACTGAGTTTAATAGGTTTAAGTGAATTTAATAGTTAACTCGGGATTTAATTAATTAATGACTATTTTAATTAATTAATTGGTTTAAAATAATTAATAATGGAAAATTATTATTAAATTATTAAAATCATTTAATAATTGAGAATTTGAGTTTAATAATTATTAAAATTTATAATAATTATTTTAAATTGCTAGTAATTGCGTAAATGGCCCGTAGACAGGGTGATTGCCTCACTAAGTATTTATTATTAAACTAGGGATGATCCGCGCTTCGCGCGGGGTTTTAAATTGTTGTGTTAATTTTATTGTTTTTCCGCAAATTTAAATTATTTTTATAGTTTATCACTGTTTCAAAATTATCATACACATATTAATTAAAAATAATTAGGGTTAAAACAACTTATAAAAAAAAATGGGCTTATGTGTGTTAATTAAGAGTGATAATTATGCATGAAGAATTTAAGGATGCGTTTCGCAGTTCTTAGAATTGAATTGTGTAATGAAGATGGTATTGAATTTGGTTTTTAAATAAATGGTCATGAAAAAGCAAGTGGAGAGAAAGTTGTCACCTTCCCGTCCTATCTCATCCCGTTCCATTTTGTTTCTTTTCAACTTGTCCTGTTATTTTCTGCTGTGTCTGTCATGTCTGTCGTCCCTTCCATTTTTCTTATCATATCCCACTTTGTTCCTTCCCGTCTTGTCCCATCCCATTTCGTTAATTTCCCATCTTGTTCTATCCCATTTATTTGAAGGTAAGATTTATAATCTCATATAACTAAATTTTTTTAAATAATACTCTTTCCGTTTCATAATAAATGACATTTAAGCAAAATGAGAATTCAATGTATCTGGATGTATTTAACTCAAAATGACACTTATTATTCTCCAGATACATCCATTTATTGTCCGGATACATTTTGTCCAAATGACACTTATTATGAAACGGAGCGAGTAGTTTTTATAGATATGTACATAAGTTTTCTTTTATAAAAATGACTTTTCAAATTCTTCCTTAAACTACTATATTAATTAATGATAATTATGTCATAATTAAATAAAAAAGAAAACATATAATAAATTAAAGAATTGTGTTGATGTATCATTTTCCAAAATATAAACATAATAATTAAATAGAAACGATAAGCATAATTCTTGTCTTGTTTCATTAAATGAAATTAAGGTTGGATATAATTTTGGTCTTGATCCATTTCGTCATGTTTCTTATATGTACTTCAGAGAACTGATAAGTACTCACATCAAGAGGAAAATTAACGAACTCCATTAAGCATTTTGAATGTGAGTACTCATCAATTTTCTATCCTAAACCTCCGGATCCACTTTCTTCATTTTGCTTTGGGTTGATACATGGAGAATCACCCACATGCTCTCTACAGGATAATATAACAGAAAACAAACATGTCAACTTAGAAGTTCAGGATACAAATGTGAGCTAAGAGTCTGATTATGAAGAATAATAGCTTGAAAAAAAAACTTACGTTTTAGGTTTCTTCGCATTATGGTTGGTCACCAAGACCGTATCCATTGACTCCTCTTGGTTCTCTTGGTTCTGGTTGAGAGTCCAAATCTAAACCTTCATCAACTCCTACCGCCCTTTTTCTTGAATTTGGATTAGGTCCCATGTCTCCCTAAAGAAGCAAAGAAACCCAAAAGAGAAAGAGAGAGAACATGTGAATATGCTGAGAGACATATAGTATAACAAATGCAAAAGCAAAGTTTAAATATTAAAGACCTTAAGTGAAGATGATCCACCATCTCTGGAAAATCCATGATAGGTGAATCCCACAATTCCAAGACCACAGTCTTGCTCTCAAAACTAACTCCCTCTTCCATCACGTGCTTGCCTTTAAGCTCATGCTTAGACTTAGGTGTAGGTATTTCAACATCATGCTTCACATCATTCACACCGTTGGTTGCCTCATCACTTGTTTGATTTTGAGGTACCTGGTTTTTAGAACCCTCCATGCCACTCAGTTTCAGAGCTGGAAAGCACGGTGCAGCCTGACCCCAGCCCCCCGGAAACGCAGTAGCAGAATGATAGTTCAGTTGTGGTCGAAATCCATGATTTTGAGTAGTAGGCTGATTCAGCTTAAATGTTTGCATCGTAGGAAGAGATAGAGGTGGGGGAACATGCGGAGACGGTGGAGGGAGATGACGTTGCACCTGAGGAGGTTGAGTTCCAACTTGATGAGACACATGCATGTTGTTTGGAGGAGATCTTGCCTGGTTAGCTTGAGGATAAATTGGCTCTAAGCACCATAATGGATATGGCTGGCGTGAGTGTGACGGACCCTCACCAATAGTATTGTGTGGCAGACTTAATGGGTTAGCTTGGGGTAGCGAAGCTGATGGGGAAACAACATGAGGCTGATGTAGAGCCAAACTCAGAGATAGGAGTTGTGGTTGAACTTGCGGAGGAGAGTGAGTTTCAGCCATATATGGAATTGGTGGCAGCACACAGGGCACTTGATGTTGGCTTGGAACATCATAAGGTTGAGGCATGTAGTAGTATCCCATATCGTTTTGGTAATACATCTGATATTGTGGTGGTGGGTACCATTGCGCTTGAGGAATCACTTGACCTGAACTTTAATTACCCGAAATCATTTATTACAAAAAAGGTAAATGATTTCAGGGAATTCAAGTTCAGGTTCAAATGGTTCCTCAAGCGCAATGGTACCCACCACCACAATATCATATGTACTACCAAAGCGATATGGGTTACTACTACATGCCTCAACTTTATGCTGTTCCAGGCCAACATCAAGTGCCCTATGTGCTGCCACCAATTCCATATATGGCTGAAACTGACTCTCCTCTGCAAGTTCAACCACAAATCCTATCTCTGAGTTTGGCTCTACATCAGCCTCATGTTGTTTCCCCATCAGCTTCGCTACCCCAAGCTAACCCATTAAGTCTGCCACACAATACTATTGTGAGGGTCCGTCACACTCACGCCAGCCATATCCATTATGGTGCTTAGAGCCAATTTATCCTCAAGCTAACCAGGCAAGATCTCCTCCAAACAACATGCATGTGTCTCATCAAGTTGGAACTCAACCTCCTCAGGTGCAACGTCATCTCCCTCCACCGTCTCCACATGTTCCCCCACCTCTATCTCTTCCTACGATGCAAACATTTAAGCTGAATCAGCCTACTACTCAAAATCATGGATTTCGACCACAACTGAACTATCATTCTGCTACTGCGTTTCCGGGGGGCTGGGGTCAGGCTGCACCGTGCTTTCCAGCTCTGAAACTGAGTGGCATGGAGGGTTCTAAAAACCAGGTACCTCAAAATCAAACAAGTGATGAGGCAACCAACGGTGTGAATGATGTGAAACATGATGTTGAAATACCTACACCTAAGTCTAAGCATGAGCTTAAAGGCAAGCGCGTGATGGAAGAGGGAGTTAGTTTTGAGAGCAAGACTCGTGGTCTTGGAATTGTGGGATTCACCTATCATGGATTTTCCAGAGATGGTGGATCATCTTCACTTAAGGTCTTTAATATTTAAATTTTGCTTTTGCATTTGTTATACTATATGTCTCTCAGCATATTCACATGTTCTCTCTCTTTCTCTTTTGGGTTTCTTTGCTTCTTTAGGGAGACATGGGACCTAATCCAAATTCAAGAAAAAGGGCGGTAGGAGTTGATGAAGGTTTAGATTTGGACTCTCAGACCAAGGAGAACCAAGAGGAGTCAATGGATACGGTCTTGGTGACCAACCATAATGCGAAGAAACCTAAAACGTAAGTCTTTTTTTTCAAGCTATTATTCTTCATAATCAGACTCTTAGCTCACATTTGTATCCTGAACTTCTAAGTTGACATGTTTGTTTTCTGTTATATTATCCTGTAGAGAGCATGCGGGTGATTCTCCATGTATCAACCCAAAGCAAAATGAAAAAGTGGATCCGGAGGTTTAGGATAGAAAATTGATGAGTACTCACATTCAAAATGCTTAATGGAGTTCGTTAATTTTCCTCTTGATGTACTTATCAGTTCTCTGAAGGCAAATACCCTTTTGAAACATATAAGAATCAAAACGCTCGGCGAAAACATCATCGATGTCACACATTCTTTCAAACATGTAATTGTGTGGGTAAACGTAAGGAGGAGTTCTTTTTCCTTCAAGCCGACTTTCACACGTAGATATACTATTAAAGGCATTAAAAGCCGCATTGGATGCTTCCCCCGGTAATGTCCAGAGCTCGCAAAACTTTCAGCTCCCTTGATGGATCTAATGGATAATTGATAATTTGTCACACAACATTCGTTCTCGCTAGGTCTTTTATCATCTCTAGGTTCTTGTAGCCCAACGACTCCGTCTTTTGGATGACCATACTGACAAGACCAAGTCGAGGGTGAACGTTTTTGGGTCGGAGTTTAGCCAAGCGACGCAGAAGTGTTTGTAAATTGAAGGTTGTGAGCAGAGTTGGACAACTAGTGATTTTGTGACTTTGTGAGTTGGAGAAAAATGTGAAGACAAAGGGGCGATTGATGAAGACAAAGGGGTGGTGATTGATAGAAGAACAATGACAAGAGGAATCATCGAAAACACGTTTCTTGTGACTGTCTTCGATGTGGAAGTTATACGTATTTTTTGATGTTGGGGAGTGCTTAATATATATGCATTGTTCTTGGGGTGGAAAGTGTAACTCCTCTGGTAAGGTTCGATTTCATTTCATTATTATTGACTATTTAGTGGTTTAACGAAATGTTGACCCGATTTGTTTATAAGAACGTATACGTATTGAATTGACTGGTATCGTTATAGATTTCTATATCGAGATTATTACTTATGCCAAACTAGGTCACGATGTCTGACGATGATATTGTTTTGATGGTTGGCAACTAAAAGAAACCAGTGTTGGTGCTAAAAACCATATTCGAAATTTGTATATTTTGTAAAGAAAAAACTTAGAGAAATTTAGGGCTACATTGAATAATTAGTAAGCAAGGATTTTGCTAAATGGATTTGTATTAATCAAATAAAAATGGTTACAAGAAATCTCTGAAAAGAGAAAGAACTAATTTAAAAGAACAATACATGATGTGAAAAGAAGATAGTTTCTAGGTCTAGTTCAGGTGAAAAAATGAGTCAGAAAGCGATCCTCAATCTGACTGACGTCCAACTCCTTTTCTAGCTCCATAAGGAGATAACGAAACACATCTCCTAACGATCCCGGTGATCTCGGACCAGACCAGATTTGAATAAAATCTTCTTTGACTTCGTTTTTTTTTCGTCACGCCGACATGGTCTTTGATCGAGCTGGAGCTCGTCTTTATGTCGACCGGAATAGCTCATATGACATTTAGCGAGTTACGATGGAGTTGTTTGGTGGGCTCGAGTCTTCTTATTGGGCTTGAGTGGGCTTGAACTTTAATTCTGGATCAAGATAATTGGCCCTTACGGGTTGGATTCCAGGTGTGGAATCCGGGTTCAACATTATACATAATTAAAATTCCCCAAAAAAAAATCTGTGTATGATAATTGATAACTAAGGGAAATGTATTGAATTTGGAATTTTAGTTGATTTTGGGTGATTTAATTTTAAATGACAAATCTCCTTGTTATTCAAATATGATTTTTTTTTAAAATAGTTTAAAATCCAGTGTTATTGAATTTGTGATTTTAGAATGTATGCAGTTTTGGAAATATTGTAGGTGAGAGATTTTAGGTGATTTGACGTGATTTTAAAATTATTTGGTGGGATTTCCTTGTTAAAAACATGATAATCCAAATCTTATGGTTCTAGATAGGATTCTAGAGTTATTTCATTTAAATTATAACAACTTCACTAAAATCACCGTAAATCATCTAAAAATAAAATCACCCTACATCATTTTAAATCCCAAATTAAATACATCCCTCTAAGATATCTCTTTATTAAGTTAGTAATATCACCGTTTTAGAATTTGACATTAGGAATTTCAAAATCAAACAATACAGAAAATCAACAATTTATGTTTGTGACAGCAGAAAAAGCAAAGAGTGAACAAATTAAGTCAGTTCCTTGACGAAACAACCAAAAGATTCAGCCGTTCAGAGGAGAAACAGATTCAACGTTTGAGAAAGAAAAAAACTAAGAGATCAATAGAAGAGATGAGAAAGAAGCAAACAGTGAGCCAAATTTTGTTCAAAGAACATCACAGAGCAAAGACAAAAAGGAAAAATGATTATATAAGTTTATTGTCTCCTTGCTTGATTTGCACTGAACTTGGAACATAGGAGCACCCAAGTGAAGACTCATATTTGTCTGTAGATTTTCCGAGGTCCACTTCTCTGTTATAGCCATCCTCCCCAATAATATAAGCTACGTTGCGAGTGGGGTTATTCACATGTTTGTCTTTATCAAAAACCACAGCGACTTTCATCTCTTGGTCAATGATGAAACTCCCACGCGTAAGACCAAACTGCAAATCTGTGACTGGTTTCATAGCCGCTGATAAGAACACCTTGCTCCACAAGGCAACTTCAGGCTCAATCTTAGTCGTAACCCAAATCTCCATATGTAATCTGTTATAGGGCTGAAATAAAACTGCAAGTTGCTCTTCTCCAGCACTAGAAAGAGTCACAATATCTTCAATCCTAGCACTAGAAAGAGTCACAATATCTTCAATCCTAGAGTGAAAGGGCAGAGGAAGACGCGGGCCAAATCTCTCTCTTGTGAAATCAAAACAGATCAAGAAATCAGCAAGGTCGTATACTCCGTGATACTTTCTTTGAGCAAACCAATAATTGTTTCCCTTGAGAGACACGCCACGTGCATAAAACGCTATCTCCCAGTCGGAAGTGACATGGAAAGTCCTCCGTGAATTAGAGTTACAATCGTAGATTTCGTACTCAATATAGCTAATTGCTATATCGGTAGGTGAATCTTCTTTATATCTCAAAACTTTGTAGTTGCGGCGTGAATTGCTGTTCTCGTATCCTATAGCATACCTATAAAGGTCCAATTTAGGGCCACGGACTCTAGGCGTGAGCCACAAGGTTTGGCCCGAGTACGGATTCCAAACAACGAACCTAGCGAAATCTTTTGTGATGCATAACAATAAACCGTCGCAATGATAGACTAGAGATATCTCGACTCCATCTGAATCGTCTAGGCTTATGAGTTTACCTTTAGGGTTTATAGATGGTTCTACGCCTTGGAGATCGAGGCCCATCAAGTAAACACGACAATCGATCACCATGACCACCATATGCTCCTTTGCTGCTGCTGCTTTTGTAAAGCCACTAGTTTTGGATAAAGTGTTCCACTTTTTGCAAACGGATCGGAATCTTCTCAGGGATGTGAAGGGAAGTCTAGAGTGTATCTCCTCCAACAAATCCCTAGGAAGATCGGATATCACGGTCAGTTTTGCAGGTAGCTTGTTATTCTTCTTCGCAAGGTGCATCTTTGTAAAGCTCCGATCTTTGGATAAAATGCTACACTTTTTGCAAGCAGATAGGAATCCTCTCAGATATGTCACGGGAAGCCTAGAGGGCACACCTCCTCTGCCAAATCCCTTGGAATATCGGATATCCTCTTCAATTCTTTCAAACTCCAACAAAGATCGATGTAACATAAATTAGCTAGGTTGAAAAAGTTTCAGAGTTTGTAAACCCTTATTGGGCCTGACTTGTCCGATATAGTAATTAACAAGTTTTGTATAGTTCACTTACTTTGAGTGATGGGTGCAACTCCTAGTAAAGTCAAAGTTTCGCACGACGTGTACCCTTTCTTCTAAGTAGCGACTGGATTTTCGTTAAATTAAAGGTCCTGATGCATTTGTTTGCGCAGAACTGAATGTGAATGTGATCTTCGCAAGCGTTTTAAGATCCGCAGCCGAAGTCTTTGGGTTTTTGGCTTTCGCGCAAATCTCTTTTATGTCTGCCTTTTGCGCGTTCAAGGAACCAATCATTACAAAAAACAAGAGAGAAGTCATGAAAACATTGCTGTTCCTCATGTATGTTGTCATCTTTGGTTATTTCATTAGTACATTCGTTGGTGCTTTATAGACGCTTGTGATTGATTGCTTCCACTAGAAGTAATAATAGAAGTTCTTGGACAGGATTGTTGTTGTTTCTGATTCTTAGTTAGACCACAAATGAGAAAGAAGCAAATAATGTACCAAATTTTGTTCAAAGAACATCACAGAGCAAAGACAATAAACTTATGCAAGTGTTGTAAAAGTAGTAGTTAATCATTTGAATTATAATTCTTCCTTTTTGCCTCCTTGCTTAATTTGCACTGAACTTGGAACATAGGAGCACCCAAGTGGTTAGTAAAGTTCTTTTGTAGATTCTCCGAGGTCTACTTCTCTGTAATAGCCATCCTCCCCAATGATATAAGCTACGTTGCGAGTGGGGCTATTCACATGTTTGTCTTTATCAAGAACCACAGCCACTTTCATCTCTTGGTCAATGAAGAAACTCCCTTGCGTAACACCAAACTGAAAATCTGTGAGTGGTTTCATAGCCACTGATAAGAACACCTTGTTCCACAAAGCAACTTCAGGTTCAATCTTAGTCGTAACCCAAATCTCCATATGTAATGTGTCCCAGGGCTGAAATAACACTGCAAGTTGCTCTTCTCCAACCCTAGAAAGAGTCACAGTATCTTCAATCTTAGAGTGAAAGGGCAGAGGAAAACGCGGGCCAAATCTCTCTCTTGTAAAATCAAAACAAATCAAGAAATCAGCAACGTCGTATAGTCCGTATAATGGTCCTCTATCTGGATACTTTTCTTGAGCAAACCAATAAGTATTTCCCTTGAGAGACACGCCACGTCGGTGCATAAAACTCTGTCTCCCAGTCGGAAGTGACATCGAGAACCCTCCACGAATAAGAGTTCACTAACGCTCTGAGCCTTTGCGTGAATTGCTATGGGTAATAAGATGCATTGAGTACAAAAATTACATGATTACACGTTACTTAATCATTTCATATATCGTCATATATAAAAAATATCTATTGTTCCGTTGGTCAGAAATTATGTGGTGCAATATGTGCTGGAGTTGGAAGATTGTCAAGTGGCAGATGCTCTCTCTAGATATCTAGATGGGAACTACGTCCAACTCGCTTGTGACAAGTATGGGAGTCATGCGGTGCAAAAGTTTTTGAAAAATAGACAATTTAACACGAGGAGGATCGTACAAGAGCTGTTATGTGACATTGATTCACTTCTTGTAAATCCGTATGGAAACTATGTGATTCAGACTGCATGGAGTGTATCTCAGGTAAGAGATCATAAACATGTTTGAAGATTCGATTTGTGTGAAATCATCAGCTTAACTATCTTCTTCTTATTTTTGTGTTTTGTAGGATGATATGCAAGGTGAATTATTATACCATATAAACAGGAATCATCCGTTCATGAGGTGCAACAGATATGGAAGAAAAGTACTCGAGAAACTTAAGATTTGGACATAGAAAGACATGTTGTGGAAAATAGATGAGGAGCGACTACATTTAATAATTGCTGTTTGGTGTTTTTTTTATTTTTGTTGGCTTTGACTTAGTGTTGTCACTTGTCAGTGATTTATTTCTGTTGGTTCGTTTTTATTTACATGTTGTTTTTTAGGTTTGTGTAATAGCTGTAAAAAACCTCATTCCTATTGCAGAAAGATGGTCAGTTTCTTTTGATTATTTATTTTCTTGAAGAACTCATCTAGTGAACAAACCTTTCATATCGTGGCACTGGAACATGAGGAGCAGCTTCTTCTTCCACAATGTCTGCTGCAACAATGTCAGCTACAACAGGTGCCTCAATGGGAGCATCTTGTTTCTCTCTCTCCCTCAGCAGCAAACTTATCTCCTTGAGCTCACATTTCTGTTGATGATTTATGTCCTGAAGAAATCATGTATAAGAAATCATGTATGGAACAAACCCTTCATAGCCTTTAAGTGGTATTGGAACATGAGGAGCAGCTTCTTGTGAGTTCGCTATGGCAGCAGCAATTGGTAAATCCCTCTCTCTCAGCAGCAAATTTATCTCCTTGAGTTCACATTTTTTGTAAAAAACTTCATTCCTGTTGCAGAAATGGAGATGGTTAGTTTCTGTTGATGATCTATGTTCTGAAGAAATCATTTAGGACAAACCCTTCATAGCCTTTAATTGGGACTGGCACATGAGGAGCTTCTTGTGCATTGGCGATGGCAGCAGCAATTGGTGCAGCTTCTTCCACAATGTCTGCTGCAACAGGTGCTTCAATGGTATCAGCTACATGAGCCGGATCAGCTACAACAGGTGCTTCAATGGGATCAGCTACAACAAGTGCTTCAATGGGATCAGCTACATGAGCCGGATCAGCTACAACAGGTGCTTCAATGGGATCAGCTACAGGAATCTCCCAGAGATAGTGCACAAAAGCCAACCAGCCGTACCTGAAAAGATAAACAACAATTATGAACTTGTTACACCAAATATGGACGAATTATGAACAGTAAAGGAAACAGTCAACAATCATGAACTTGTTACACTAAACAACAATTAGTGGACTCACTTGGTACGAAGTCGATGTGTTCTTCTCCGCAGAATCTTCCCATCATCGTAAGTTTTGGTAGCAATCATCAAGTTAAATTTGGGAAAACCCATATCTTGCATAAGAAATATAAAATATAGATTACAAATATGCACTGTGGACATGAATGAACATACATAAACAATATAAATTGTGATATGATATCTTACCACATTGTTAGCTTGAACATTTATAAGATTGTTCACGGGGTCCCATTTGTTCTTGTCTTTGTAACCATTCACGTCGTCGAAAAATGCTTTTTGCTTATCGTTTTCTGGCAGCGCATCTTTGTGTGAGACTGAAAGTAGAGTGGGATGTAGAATCATCTGGTCGTATATGTACTCTATCTCACTGTATCTCAACCATCTTTCTTTAGAGTCGTTAATGAGCTCTTGCACTTTTGGTATCGACTCTAACCCTCTCCATTTTATTATTTGCACTAGTATTGTACAAACAATGTAGTTTGTTAACTAGATGATTACCCTCGTACATACGCAGGTATTTTCTTCATCATGTTTTTGGAGTAACAAAATTTGTTGGGATTGACATAAACACTGTTAAGTCCTCCATGTTATATGTATTAGCATGATCAAATCTCAATTTAAATACCTTACAGTTAAATATTCACCAGACAAAGCAATTCGAACAAGAACAATTACACATTGCATTTTTAATGGATAGTTTTGACTACATTTTGTTTGGTTCCACCCATTGATTTAAATAGAACGATCAAAACGATCAAACCGTAGTTCCTACATGCGTTCAAGCTTATAATAACAAAGTGGAAATAGAATGTGATAAAGTTCGTGAGTCATTACAACTTGCTTTGTTTATTAAAATGATATATCACAAATAACATGTAATTTTCATATATAGGTTTTTAAACTATATATATATATATATATATATATATATATTGGCTATCTACACATTACAAAAGATTATCTACGATCGATGTTATAAGTTATAACATAACAAGAAGTATAAAATAAAGACTATTCTTTTCTTTTTCGAAAAGGAGAATCAGTAGAATAAAGTGTACAAATTCCTGAAGTCATAAAATTCCATCGTTAACAATTTTAAGAAAAAAAAGTGGTAAATGTAATATTGTTTCAACTCATCCCATTTCTACCAGTAACTAAAAATCAAAGTTGAAACCGGAAAATACAAAACCAAACCAACCCCGGTTAAGATCTCGCTTTGGTTTGTCGCAGGCGGCTTTCCTTCCTTCTGAATCCACATCAGAAGAAAAATTAAAACCCGAAATGAGACCAAAGAAAACACTAAACAGAATCAAAACACTAAACCGTGATGTATACCTGTGGGGTTCTACATGTGAATGGGCTTATCATAGGTAGCCATGGCAGCTTCCTTGATAGCCTCACTCATAGTTGGATGAGCGTGACAGACTCGAGCAATGTCTTCACTCGACGCATCATAGTTGATCGCTAGAACCGCCTCATGGATCAACTCTCCTGCGTTTGGTGACATTATGTGAACCCCCAAGATCTTATCCGTCTCTTTATCAGCCAAAATCTTAACCATTCCCTCTGCCGTGTCTATAGCTTTGGCTCTGCTGTTGGCCATAAACGGGAATTTCCCAACGTTGTAGCTCACACCGTCTTTCTTCAGCTGCTCTTCCGTTTTACCCACCGAGGCAACTTCGGGATACGTGTACACAACCCCTGGGACTTTGTCGTAATCCACATGCCCGTGTTTGCCTGCTATAAACTCAACACAAGCCACACCATCTTCTTCTGCTTTGTGAGCCAGCATTGGTCCTGGAATCACATCTCCGATCGCATAAACCCCTGAGACATTCGTCGAGAATCTCTCGTTCACCAGAATCCTCCCGGCTTTGTCTGTTTCGACTCCGATTTTCTCCAGATCAAGCCCAGACGTGAACGGGTTTCTCCCCGCTGAGACGAGGACAACATCAGCTTCCAGAGTCGTCTGTTCTCCACCTCCTGCAGGCTCAACGATGAGCTTCACACCATCTCCCGATGAATCTACTCCCACCACTTTAGTCTTGAGCATGAACTTCATCTTCTGCTTCTCTAACGAACGCTGAAACTGCTTCCTGATTTCACCATCCATTGACGGTACAATATCTGATGCAAACTCAACAACCGTGACCTCTGATCCGAGTCGTCCCCACACAGAACCCATCTCGAGACCAATATAGCCAGCGCCAATGACGATTAGCTTCTTTGGGATCTCTGTCAGAGACAAAGCCCCTGTTGATGAGACAATCTTCTTTTCGTCGATGGTGATGCCAGGCAAAGACTTGACATCCGAGCCAGTTGCGACTATGATGTGTTTGCCTTTCACAACGGTGTTTCCTCCATCGATCGTCTCCACAGAGACTTCAGACGGGGAAAGAAACTTGCCATAGCCCTTAACGTAGTTGACCTTGTTCTTCTTGAACAGGCCTTCGATACCTCGGGTGAGATTCTTGACGGCTGTGTCCTTCTGGGCTAACATAGCGGGAAGATCAACCTCCACTGAAGAGACCTTGACGCCGTGGTTAGCGAAAACGTGTTTTGCCTCATGGTACATGTGAGAAGAGTGAAGAAGAGCCTAATAACACAAGAACAAATCAGAAAAGGTCATACAGATTTTATAAAGCTTCACGCAGAGTGGGGAAGAGCATAACACATTCAGAAAATAGTGCAATTAGCATTTAGTCTACGGAAATGCGAGTTTCATCATACATTTTGCTCATCATGATTCATAATCCAGAACAAAATTGTTGAGAGATATAAAAGTTCGAAGGCTAATGGTTACATTTCCGAGGAATCAAGCGCAAATGGAATTCAGTAATACGCGAAAACGTATCTACACAGATCTGATTAGTGAATAATTATCATCACGCAAGCGATTCTTAAACCTCTAACTCTCAATTCGTAAAGACATAGATCGAATTTGAATGATGAATCAACAAGAGACGATCAAAATCGGAGGTAAAAATCAGGCGGATGAAGAGAAACAAAGTTTGATTCGAAGACGGAGAAAAGGAGTATTCTGAATCAATCACCTTGGAAGGAATACAGCCAACGTTGAGACAAGTACCACCGAGAGCGCCGCGCTTTTCGATGCAGGTTGTTTTGAGACCGAGCTGTGCGGCCTTAATCGCCGCCACGTAGCCTCCAGGACCGCCGCCGATGATGACAACATCGTTCTCGTCGGATCCGGAGGAAGCGAATCCGCGGGTGAGGGAGAGAGAGAATCTGAGAGCGTCAGTGGGAGAATTGGATATGTTTCTGGTGAGAAAGTAGGCCTTTCTCCTAGCTAAGCTCGCCATCGCCATCGTCGTTGTTGTTCTGATTCTGTCGACCTTTCTGAGAGAGAGATGGGAAACAGAGACTTTGGCTCGTTGAAGAGTCGAATAAAGACGGAAACACTAGAAAAGTAGAAAGGCCTCTCTTCCCTTTTGCCCTTTGATTATTCCTTTTTTAACATTTAATCATAAGAATTTTAAAATTAATTAGAAGTATTAAACATTTACATTAGGATCAACATCACGTATGAAAATGAATGAATAATTCAAAGGGAATCTATATTATACACACTAGGTTTGAAGCCCCGCGCAAGCGCGGGGTTGTTTGATAGTTTTTCTGTTTAATTTTATTTATATTATTTGATTTGAATTATGATGGTTTTGTGTTAAATTTCATGTTTTTGTTATGTTTTGAGTTAACTCAACCAACTAACACTAAAAAATGAATAATTTAAAAATTATTAGGATATTAACACCCTGCTTTATCTCGAGTTTTCTATTTTTAAAATTTATGATGTTTGTTTACTTTTTTTTACTTCTATTAGACTGTAAACATGTATATGTATTTGATTATTTGATTGAAGGTTAAAATTTATAAATATGTATATGTATTTGACTGAAGGTTAAAATTTGTAAACATATTCTTGTTTATCACTATAATTAAATTTACATATAAAACTTCATTTCTATTTGTTTAGAAAAACAAACTCTAACTCTAGTTTTTCATGAGCTTTCTATTATCTTAATTAATTTATATTCAACTTTTTAACTTGTAAACAAATTATAACATTTTTAAATAGGATAATCCTTTGAATAAAAAGGTAAATATATACTATTTGAAGTTAAATATTTCTTTACTCCATTTTTTATTATATATTTCAACTTTTTGATAACTTTTGACATCAAATTATCACATACTTTCTATTAATTAATTAATTTATTTGTGTATTTTTATTAAATATGAATAAATGCAAAGAAATATGAATAGTCATATATTTAATAAATATTTTAAATACAATTTAAAGTTTTTGTGCTGATGTGGACACTCTAGATAGAGAGAGCAACTCCCTAATTATATATAAGATAAGAAAAAGCCAGTTCATGATGATTTATAAAAGAAATGAGAGATATTTGAACCATATTGTACAAAGTGGAAGATAAAATGGAGATGAAAATCAGAGAAAGGATCTTAAAGAAAAGGTTAGGTTAGCTATGAAATATGGCTTTTGTGACTCAGAAACCTTGCCACAATCTCAACATATTCTAAAGTTTCAAAGACATAAGGAAGATTCTTGATGGAATTTGTAAGAAACAAACCTTCATGTTTTTAGTGTCTGGTGATCAACTTTATAATCTGGATTTTCCCTCTTAATCTTAAATCAGTTTTTTGTACATAAGTGCTGAATAATCCTACCGGAGCAATAGCCAAAACAACACATCAAAAATGGCTACAACACTTATGAACATTCAACAACAACAACAAAAACAAAGTCTTCTCATCTTCTCTTTTTGCCTCCTTTTTATTTCATCCAGTATCATCATCAGTCAAACAATATCTGGCCTTCAAGGGAATTCATCTCAAAAACCCATCTCTGCATCTATAATATATACACTGTCCTCCTCCCCTTAAGACCGCTCAAAAACCTTCATCAGCTAGCCTTCTAGCATCTCCTGTAACCGAGCTCTCGCTTCATCAGAAACACAAAACCGCCGTACTCTTCTCCTCTGAGGAGCTAGCGACGACGTGAAGCAGATCACCACCACCGTAACATTATCCGACGACTCAAGCCTCAGCGCTTCCCTTCCAAGTTCCATAGCGCACCTTCTCGGGTCACCATGCCTCCTCAGTGCTTGCCTAGCAAACGCAACAGCATACTGGCTCGTCATCACGTCCCAAACACCGTCGCATCCCATAATCAAGAACTCATCTTCCTCCGTCAGAATCATCTGTTGAATGTCCGGGTCCGAGATCAGAGGCGACGACAAAGACACTCCAACCGGTGAAAACCTCTTCACTGACCAGTCTCCAAGCGCTCTTGTCACAGCGAGGTCACCGTAGAGATACTCTCCTTCAAAGTAGCCTCCCAAATCCTCTACTCGTCTCCGTTCCGACTCAAACGTAGACTTGTGATCGAACGACATGTCGACAGCTTTGCCTCTCCTGCAGAGCACTGCACGGCAATCACCTGCGTTAGCTACCATTAAGTGCCGTCCGATTACAAGAGCAGTCAAGGCGGTTGTCCCGCACGAAGCGCTTACTATGCTTTCGTCTTCCATGGCCAGATCAGCTAGCTTATAAGCTTCCCGGTGAGACTTCTCCAGCTCTTTCAAGAAGAGAGAGTTAACAACAACTGAAGTTCTTGATTCTCGAAAGACAGCGTCTTCAAAGAACAATCTCGTCGCGTTCTCTTTGATGTACTGTGACGCCTCTGATCCACCATGGCCATCAAACACACCGTAGAAAGAGATCGGTAATGGAAACCTGAAGAAGGAAGATTCAAGATGAGCTGAGAGGTCGTCTATGCGTATGTGTTCGTCTTCCATGTACTCACGGTAGTCACCCTTATCCGCATAGCTCCCAGAAGTAATTCTTGGGATAAACTCAGTAGCAGGCTCTTCAATGGTGGTAGCTGCAGTTTTAGAACAACTCTTGGCCTGTTTTGTGGAAAAAAGGTAACACAAGAGCTTAAGAGACTTCACAAGAAAGAACAAACAGAGAATGCAGAGTAATCCATTAAGAATGCAGTCTAATGACACTCATTGATCCAAGTCTTAACAAGGAAAAAGGTGACACTTAGATTAAATCACCAATGTAACAAAGAAAATAACACTAAAAGTCAAGTCTTGATAAAGCATTGACCTTTGTTAAGAATCACGGTGACGATATCAATTATCAAATAAATAAAAAAATCCAAATTTTAATCCATGAGCAAGCGGATTACGAAGAAAAGACTCAATCAATCAAACCCATACAATCCTAAATTCGAATTCAACGGAGAATCTGGAATGGCACAGAATCTTAATATCAGAAGAAGCAAAATTGAGATTACAAAAAAGGAGAAGAGAATGGGAAAAAATCCAAGCACGTACCGATCCTAATAGAGGCGTTTCTTCGGAAGACGTAATCTCAATAGAGACGGAGTCGTGAATTCGAATATCGGCAATCTGAAAGTGATTGGGGTCTTTCCCGGCGGAGAGATGAGACTTGACGTCGATAACACTGATCTCAGCGGATTCAGATGAGACCACGTTTTGACTCAGAAGCATCGATTTTGCTCTTCTAATAAACTGACGTACACATCTGATTACGAGATCTTTCCAAAGACAAAGCTGTGTGAAAAGCTGCCATGTTTGGGTGACTGAAGCTTTGCTTGGACGCATAATTAATTTCTTTACCGAATTATTAAAGGAGCAAAAAATAGGTTTACCTGAATATATATAAATATTTACGACAAAAATATTTTTATATATGATTTTTTTTTGACAAATGTAACAACTTTTAAGGTATTTTATACATTTATGGTAAAGAGAACTATTATTGCAAATGTCTATGTTTAGGTGGTTTTAACTTTTAAGTGCATGAATCTTGTGTCCACACTCCACACTAACCTGTCAAACCAATTTTAATTGGGCTTTAAAATACCAATTAAGACAAAGATATGTACTTGGCCAATGGTGAGGTGAACTACACGTGTGATTCATGAGTGCAACCTTTCAAACCACTTGGCCTCTTTACCAATACACCGCCACCGTGTATACTTCTTTATCTCGCTTGATTAGTGATTGTTTTTTAAGAAAAAAACACCTTGATTTTCTCAATTTGGTTATTAGACTAATTGACCCATAAAAAGTTCACAAAAAGAAAACACTTGAGGAGAAACAAAAGAATAATGTTTTCTAAGCATTGATATTTCAAATCAAAACTTGAGGAGTATGACATTATCTGGCTATTGTAGCCCGGTCAATTTTAGTAGACAATTCCTAATATATTAAAAGAGAAAACACTAACTAAATAACCTTTGTCTAATGTGTTATTAACAAGAATGTCATTGCTTAGGTGTCATCACTAGGTTCACTCTTAGAGCAATTTCTAATTAAGACAAGCTTTACTAGACAAATTACAATATATGCCATTGCATATTATGCTTACAACCAAATAATGAAATTAAATTTATCATTCTCTTTCCTTAATTGGCAACTACGAAAATTAGTAAATAAGGAAGATATGAGATTCAATTTAATTCCATCATAATAATTTCTTTTAAAATCAGTATACATCTTCTTTGTTTAAATTTATTTAATAAAATAATTTGAATCACAATATAAAAAATCTATCAAAAAAATCTAAAACTTTTTCTGTACATGTTATGATTTGAATTTTTAAAAACAAAATAATATAAATTGTTTCGTATATAACCTCATTTAGTAGGTATCCAAATGTAATTTTTTTTTCATTTAATATGGTTTTTTAATTAAAATCTATAATAAATCGAATAAAAAAGTTCTTTTTATAAATATTTTATTTTGATTAAACTTTTGAATATTACTCTATCTGTTTCAACTTTCTATACAAAATTAATTATATTTTTGCTGTTTTGACAATTTGGATTCTGCATATTATTTTCTGATTGGTTGGATTGTTTTGAAATTATAATAAAGCATGTTTTAGTTTTGAAAGAAAGAAAAAAATTAGTTCTAATCCGTGTCCACACAGCTAAAACTTTTTATCTTATGAAATACATGATGTATAATTTTTCTAAAGAATAATGTTTTATTTTCAATTTTTTTTCTTTAAACTATCTTATTATATTATAGTTATTTGAGTTTTATGTATCTCGGTTAAATCTATCATATTTAATATGTGGTTACGATCAATGCTTTAATTTATTTCTTTTTTTAAATGGATTAAAATGCCTAATTTTCATACTATAAACGAATAACAAAGGTTAAAAATCTCTCGCATAAAATGTCGAAATATTTAAATAAACATTTTTAATAAAAATACAAATTCAGAAACTATCACCCCGTGCTGGGCACGGGTCAAACCCTAGTTAGTAGTATTATTTTCATTTCATTCGTATCTTTTTATAGAATGTGACGTGTTGAATTTCTTATCGCATATATATACATATACATAGGTGATAAGGCTATTTTAATTCATAAACGGAAAACTGAAATGCAAGTAAAACAAAGGAAACTGGCATCAAATCAACCTTGAGTCTCAACAAGAACATTTACTAATATAGATAGAAATGGGAAACGAAAGTACCAAAACGAGAAACAGAGTTGGTAAGTTCCATAAAGCCTAAAAAAACATTTTAAGTTCGTACTAGCGAAACAAAAAAAACCCGAGAAGTTCTTCTTACCAATTTTGCCATGATCATTTAAGTCCTTTCCAGCTTCTGGCGCACATCATTGCATTAGCAACGTTGGGTTCCATGGAAAGAACAAACTCAGGAGGCTCTCTCCTGTCCGAAACATAAGCATCATACGAAGTGGGACGTGAGATCGGTATGGAGAGAGTGTCACGTGCTACTCTGGAGAGGACTGGATACTTTTGGCTCTCTTCTCTCCACCAATCCAATGCTTTGAACTCTTTGTTCCACTCCAAAACCGGTTCCTTGAGATACGAATCAAGTTCTGAATCTTGAAACTCCCTTGACGAACCTTCAAACTTCAGAAATTCCTGAAACAAAACAAAACCCTCGTATGCATCATGCTTCTTCTTCTCCTCATCCTCCTTCTCCTTCTCCTTTTGTGCTTCTCTTTCTTCATCAAGATAATCTTCATCTTCTCCTTCATCATCATCATCTTCTACTTCTTCATCGGAGTCAATTGTGTTGACCGGACATATTGGTTTCTGACATATCTCGCTAGCTGCATAGCGAGCAAAAAGACTGCGTAAATACTCCAAAACAGCCTCAGCTTTAAAACCTTCACCATTCTCAATCTTCTTCGAGCAGTAAAACTCAATGTACTTCATCTTGAAACGAGGGTCCAACACACAAGCAGCAGCCAAAACCAGAAACATATCCTTCCAGTACTTATCAAACATCTGCAACATCCTCTTAGCTTTGCCGCGCAAGTGATCATTATCAGCATCAGCGAGCTCCTGGTTAAACATTCCCTCAAGCTCCGCAAGCAGGTGGAAGTAGACATTACTCGTCGCATACCCTTCTTCGAAAAGCTCCTTCGCCACTTTGTAAATGCATCCAACGAGTGTGCAGAAAGTCTCAAGCTGTATCCACTCTTCATCAGACGGCTTGTCGTAATCGTCGTAAACCTCGTCCTTTGAGAACGCATCCTCGTTCTTCATGTCAACAGCTCGTTGGTAATTATGCAACTTGATGTTCCAGTTGGTTGGAGAGCATCTTCCCCAGCTAACCAACATACGAAGATCCTCATACAACCCCCACCTAAACTCACTATCCATGTTATCAACCATTATCCGGAACAGATCAGCACAGCAATAGAGTTGGAAAACCGGTGGACTGATAGAACTATTCCCTTTCTCTTCTATGCGCTTCTTGATAGCATCAATCGTCTTCTCATCAAAATCCTCATTGATAGGCAGTAGTATAGTAGAGACCTTGCTCTCAATCTCGAAATCCTGAAGAGCGGTTCTAAAATGGTAAAAGTTTATGTTTTCCGGAGTTGTATTCACATCAGTAGTGTACGCCAAGATCAGTTTCCTGACTTTCCAGTTATCGTCAATGAGATGAGCAGACATACAGACGAAATCCTCGTGCAAGATCGGGCCTTTGATGTGGTCTCTGGTCCAGTCCCAACCAAGAAGCAACCAATCGAAAGAGAGTGTTATTTTCCCCTGAAAGTCCTTGAGGAATTTCTTGGCCTTGTCTTTACGTTTTTGGTGTATCTTAAGAACTTCATTGACCACTGAAGGAACACTAAGAGGCAGATTCGGTTTCACAAGCTTCATAAACTTTCCAAAGGCCGAGATCTCCATTGTATTAGGACTGATCCCAGCAAAAATGAACCACTTGGCCATAGCTTTGTGAGCACCTTTCTCAGTAACAGTACTCTCCATCATCTCAGAATCTTCCTCATAATCTTCTTCGACATCGTCCTCGAAATCTTCCTCAAAATCCTCCTCGAAATCGTCCTCAACATCGTCAGCAGAATCGTCCATAAGATCGTTTCCAGGATCCTCCGAATCTAGTTTCTTCTTCTTCCCTAGAAATTTACAGTATCAGAATATCATTATGCATTCAAGCGAACACATAGAAAACAAAAAAATAATCAAACATATCTATATAAATAGAGATTATAATCAGTGCATATCAACGCAAATACGGACGCATACGAGCAGATTAGCCACATTGGAAAGTTGAATCGTAAAAGGGACAGAGGAACAGGAAAAAAAAACCCTAGAAATTGGGGATTAAATCCATTAAAACTATGAGAAAACAGGTTTCACACGGAAATGGAACAGGGAAGAAGAAATTAGAACCTGACCCAGAGCTGGAACTGGAGGCGAAATCGCCTTTGTCCATAGCAACGTCGCTGTTACGGGGGAGGCGAAGAGGATTAGGGTTTTGGTTTTGAGTGAATAAGAGACGATTCCGATTTCCAATGCCAAAATCTCTCTATAGTGTAGTGATCTTATTAATGATTTAGGCGGGAAAGCTTAGTGAGCACTAATAACCTACGTGGCTTTCACTTAGTGGATCTTTTTTTCTTTTCGTGATTTGATTATCGAGGCGATGGATCGCACGGTTAGTAATGGTTGTAGTGGACGGATGAGATTTTATCGAATGTTATGGTTTAGATTGTGTGACATTTTTCTGTTAGGCTTTTCGCAAAAGCCTATAAAATTATTCCTATGAGATGGAAGAGATTCATATTTGTTATTATGGTGCTTATATTTGCGGCCCATTTTGATATCAACCCCATGATTCTTTTTCTTTTAAAAAATAAAAAATAAAAATTTTGGTTCAGTCTAAATATAAAAATACAGCAAGTTATACATACAGAATCTCAATATTGCCATGGTAACGAAGATAATAACAGTTTTGTGATTGTGAATGCAAAGGCATATGTACATGTTAAAGGTTCCCTCAAAAATATCAAGTATATAAAGAAAATATTAGTTTGAACAGTGTGTATAACATTGGTTTGTCGTGAGAGTTAAGACTTAAGAGTTATTATTAAAAAATAGTTCGAGCAAGAAACTTCAAATGCGACACATGTAATTATGTAACGCCATGATGTGCAGCAAACGCTGGTCACGGCTTTGATATGGCATAATGTATAACCAAAAAATGATTTCGTCTTAGTGGTGGAATCATATTTCCGTGTTTCTTTTCATTTAGTCCGTTTTCCATTTCTACAACAGTTACATTGAGAACCTTGTTGCTAACTAAAATCAAAATTCTCAAGTTTACATGTGAGTACATGATAATTACATAAGTGCAACCTTTCAAAGTTCGAACCACTTGGCCTCTTTATTGTTGTTTACCAAATTCACTCTTACAAATATACACCACCACCGTGTATGGTTCTTTCTCACTTGATTACTGATTTTTTAAAGAAATAATTACTTAATTAAAAAGTTCACAATAAGAAAACACTTGTTTATATATTGCCTCTGTGTGTTATAAACACGTAGCACTAAACCATGTTTGATATTTCAAATCCAAAAGTAATCCTTAATATGACATTATTTAGCAATTGTAGTTCCGGTCAATTTAGTAGACAATTATTTTCATTTCATTCCTATCATTTTATAGAATGTGACGTGTTGAATTTCTCAACGCATATACATCGGTGATAAGGTTAATTTAATTCATAAACAGAAAAGTGAAAATGGAAGTAAAACAGAGGAAACTGGCATCAAATCAACCATGAGTCTCAACAAGAGTACGATTGTTTAAACAACTATTCAAAACAAGAACATGCTACCGAATACCGATATAGATAGAAATGGGAAACGAAAGTAACAAAACGAGAAACAGTCATTAAGTTCCACGAAGCCTAGAAAAGCATTTAAGTAAAAAAGAGAAGTTCTTACCAATTTTTGCCATAATCATTTAAGTCCTTTCCAGCTTCGGCCGCACATCATGGCATTAGCAACGTTTGGTTCCATGGAAAGAACAAACTCAGGAGGCTCTCTTCTGTCCGAAACATAAGCATCGTACGAAGTGGGACGTGAGATCGGTATGGAGAGAATGTCACGTGCTACTCTGGAGAGGATTGGATACTTCTGGCTCTCTTCTTTCCACCATTCCAAAATTTTGAAGTCTTTGTTCCACTCCAAAACCGGTTCCTTGAGATACGAATCAATCTCTGAATCTTGAAACTCCCTTGACGATCCTTCAAACTTGAGAAATTCCTGAAACATAACAAAACCCTCGTATGCATCGGGCTTCTTCTTCTTCTCCTTCTCCTTTCGTGCTTCTCTCTCTTCATCACCATAATCTTCATCTTCTCCTTCATCATCATCATCTTCTACTTCTTGATCGGAGTCAATTGTGTTGACCGGACATATTGGTTTCTGACAGATCTCGCTAGCTGCATAGCGAGCGTACAGATTACGCAAATAGTCCAAAACAGTCTCAGCTTTAAAACCTTTCCCATTCCCCACCTTCTTTGAGCAGTAAAACTCAATGTACTTCATCTTGAAACGAGGGTCCAACACACAAGCGGTCGCCAAAACCAGAAACATATCCTTCCAATACTTATCAAACATCTTCAGCATCCTCTTAGCTTTGCCGCGCAAGTGATCATTATCAGCACCATCGAGCTCTCTGTTAAACATTCCCTCAAGCTCAGCAAGAAGGTGGAAGTAGACATTACTCGTCGCATACCCTTCTTCGAAAAGCTCCTTCGCCACTTTATAAATGCATCCAACGAGTTTGCAGAAAGTCTCAAGCTGTATCCACTCTTCATCAGACGGCTTGTCATAATCGTCGTAAATCTCGTCCTTTGAGAACGCATCCTCGTTCATCATATCAACAGCTTGTTGGTAATGATGCAGCTTGACGTTCCAGTTGGTAGATGAACATCTTCCCCATCCAACGAGCATACGAAGATCCTCATACAACCCCCACCTAAACTCACTATCCATGTTATCAACCATTATCCGAAAAAGATCAGCACAGCAATATAGTTGGAAAACCGGAGCGTTAACCGAACTGTTCCCTTTCTCTTCTACACACTTCTTGATAGCATCAATCGTCTTCTCGTCAAAATCCTCATTGATAGGCAGTAGTATAGTAGAGACCTTGCTCTCAATCTCGAAATCTTGAAGAGCGGTTCTAAAATGGTAAAAGTTGATATCTTCCGGAGCTGTATTCACATCAGTAGTGTACGCCAAGATCAGTTTCCTGACTTTCCAGTTATCGTCAATGAGATGAGCAGACATACAGACGAAATCCTCGTGCAAGATCGGGCCTTTGATGTGGTCTCTGGTCCAGTCGCTGCCAAGAAGCAACCAGTCATAAGAGAGTGTTAGTCTCCCTTCAAAGTCCTTGAGAAATTTCTTGGCCTTGTCTTTACGTTCTTCGTGTATCTCAAGAACTCCATCTACCAATGAAGGAACACTTAGAGCCAGATTCGGATTCAGAAGATTCATAAACTTTCCAAAGGACGGGATCTCAATGGTGTTAGGATTGATCCCGGCACAAACGAACCACTTGGCCATAGCGTTGTGAGCATCTTTCTCAGTAACAGTATTCTCCATCATCTCCTCATCTTCCTCAGAATATTCTTCAACATCGTCGTCCTCGAAATCTTCCTCAGCATCGTCCTCAAAATCGTCCTCAAAATCATCCTCAACATCGTCATCAGAATCGTCCATAGGATCTTTTACAGGGTCCTCTGAATCTAGTTTCTTCTTCTTCCCTAAAATTCACAGAATTAGGATATCATTACGCATTCAGACGAGTAGATTAGCCACATTGGAAAACAGAATCATAAAAGGGACAGAGGAGCAGGAAAAAAAACCCTAGAAATTGGGGATTAAATCCACTGAAACTATGAGAATACAGGTTTCACACGGAAATGGAAAAGGGGAGAAGAAATAGGAACCTGAACCAGAGCTGGAACCGGAGGCGAAATCACCTTTGTCCATAGCAACGTCGCTGTTCTGGGGGAGACGAAGAGGATTAGGGTTTTGGCTTTGAGTAATCGATTCCGGTTTCCAATGATAAAATCTCTGTAGGGATCTTATTAATGATTTTGGCGGGAAATGCTAATGGAGCTATAGTCACCTACGTGGCTTTCAGTTATTGGATCTTTTCTTCTTTCCGTGGTTTGATTATCGAGGCGATGGATCCCACGGTCAGTAATGGACGTGGTGGATGGATGAGATTCTAGCGAATATTATGGTTTGGATTTTGTGATATATATATATATATTTTTTTTGTAACAACTGGATTTTGTGATATTTGTATGAAAGAAATTCATATTTTTATTATCGGGCTTATATTTTCGGCCCGTTTTAATCTCAACCCCATGATTATTTTTTTTTAATTTTTTTTTTTTGAAGAAAACAAATATTTTGGTTCAGTCTAAATATATAAATACAGCATGTTATATACTAAGTTACAAAATCTCAATATTGCCATGGTAACGAATATAATAGTTTTGTGAATGCAAAGGCATATGTACATGTAAAAGGTTCCCTCAAAAATATCAAATATATAAAAAACAATATTAGTTTGAACAGTGTGAATAACATTTGTTTGTCATAAGAATTAAGAGTTATTAAAAAAATAGTTCGAACAAGAAACTTCAAATGAGACGTCCTCACTGAAAAAGGTTCTCAATGTTACACTGTTGCAGAAATGGAAAAACAGACTATTAAATGAAAAGAAAAACAGAAATATGATTCCACTAATGCGAAAGCATTTTTTTGTTACAAACTTGCAACATTTGCCATATCAAAGCGTTGACCATTGCTTGCTGCACATCATGGCGTTCACAAGCTTGGCTTTCATGGTCACCACAAATTCAGGACACTCTCTTTGGTCAGCAACATAAGCCTCATACGATGTGGCACGAGAGATTAGTATGGACAGAACGTCACGAGCTACTCGGGAGAGGATTGGATACTTTCGGCTCTCTACTCTCCACCATTCCAATGCTTTAAAGTCTTTGTTCCACTCCATAACTGGTTCCTTGAGATAGGAACCGAGCTCAGATTCATCAAACTCTCTTGAAGCTCCTTCAAACTTGAGAAATTCCTGAAACAAACCAAAACCCTCGTATGCATCATGCTTTTTCTCTTCCTTGTCCTTCCTTTGCTCTTCTTCGTCGCTATCACTTTCTTCTTCTTCGTCGCTATCACTTTCTTCTTCTTCTTCTTCTTCTTCTGAGGTATAGGAAAGTGAATCAAATGTAGCATCCCGGCATTCTGTTTTTGGACTGATGATACCGCTAGCTGCATAGTGAGCACATAGATTGCGTAAATAGTCCAAAACAGTTTCAGCTTTTGAGCCTTCATCAGTGTCTTTCTTCTTTGAGCAGTAAAACTCAAGAAACTTCATCTTGAAACGAGGGTCTAAGACAGAAGCAGTAGCCAAAACAAGAAAAGTATCGTTCCAATACTTATCAAACCTCTCCACTATCTCCTTAGCTTTGTCAAGGAAGTACTCATTATCTCCATTCTTTAGCTCCTCGTTTAGCATGCTCTTCAGCTCAGCAAGAAGGTGGAAGTAGACACTAGCTGTTGAATACCCTCCTTCAAAAAGCTCCTTAGCCACTTTATAGATGCAACCAGCGAGCTTACAGAAAGTTCGGATCATTATCCATTCTTCATCAGATGGTTGATCAAAGTCTTGGTAATACTCATCCTCTTCAAATACTTTCTTATCTTCCATATCTAAAGCTTCTTGCAGATTACACAAACTAACGTTCCAGTTGGTTGATGTCAACTTCCCCCAACTAACCAAGAGCCGAATATCCTCAAGCAGCAAGTCCATGTTGTCAAACAGATCACCAGCCATTAGCCTGAATAGATCAGAGCAGCAATAGATGCGGAAGAAGCAAGGGTCGACCGGGTTTCTTCCTTTCTTATCTATCCACTTTCTGAAACCATCAAGCCGTTCACGACCAAGAACACCACCCCAGTTAGGCACTAGCACAGTAGATACCTTGTCTTCAATCTCATAATCCAAGATAACGTGCTTGAATCTGTAAACCTCAACTTTCTCCACTCGATCAAACTCAATAGGAGAGTACCCCAAGATCCATTTCTTGGCGTTCCAGTTATGGTCAACGAAATGGACACTTACACAGACGAAAGAATTGTGCAGAACATGGCCATCTCTGGAATAACTGTCGTCCCATTCGTCATAATCATCATCATAAGCAACTCGGTCATAAGAGAGTGTTAGTTTCCCATCAAAACCCTTGAGGAATTTCTTGGCCTTGTCTTTGCGTTCTCTGTGTATCTTGAGAACTTCTCTCTCGACTTGAGTAACACTGAAAGGAAAAAGAGGGTTCATGTTCCGCATTAAGGAACGAGGAGACACACGAGCAGTACGAATGAGCCTTTCTGCTATAGATATCAGACATTTCTTCTCTTTCTCTGCCTGTGTTGTGATTCGATTGTTCACCACAATCTCCTCACTGTCGACCGAATCGCCCGGTATTAGTTTCTTCTTCATATCTAAAAATAAACAGAGATGTCAAAGATCTCGTTATGCATTCAGAGGCACTTGTGTATATATAGAGTGAATATTCTCTTGAATATCTGTATATATCTACATATTAGTGCAGCCGTATCTCAACTGTAGATTAGTCTTTATCTCTAAGAGTAGTTACCGTTCTCTCAGCCATATCAATAATTTAATCAGTGATTATCTCTCTATACACACAAAAGGTAACAGAGACTAAAATCAGGAGATATGCAGATAGCTCAGAGATTGGAAAAGTTATACGAATCACACAAAACGAAAAGAGGAAGAGAAGAAACCCTAGAAACAGAAATGTAAACAAAATAGGAGGGAAGAAGAAATTTAATTTCAACCGGAGGCGACGACATTACCGTCTTCCATAGAAGCGTTGCTGTTTTTGTGGGGAGAGGAACCGGAGAGAAATGTTAGGGTTTGCGATTAGGGAAGAAGAGAGGATCTAGACGGGAATGAAACTGGAGCTATGAGCTATCAGAAGAGTTTACTGTGGAGTGTTGGCTTCTTTTTCTTTGCTTTAGTTTGATTATCGAGGCGTTCTTTTGATGGGACGTTTTGGTAAAGCAAACGGAGACGGTGAAGGTGAACGCCATTATTTGATATAACTTGACACGCAACACAAAGCTCATGTTCCAACGTTTACTTGGTGTTCCAAAAACATAATTTGGCAAAACAAACATCTTATTATCCACTGAACATAACTAGGGATTAATTTAAGGGTAAACTAGAAATTAACCCGTGCTACGCTGCGTCATTCGTTGTTGAGCAAGTTCTATTTAATCATATATATGAATTGAGGCCAACTCCCATATGATTAACATGTGACAAAACTTTTAAAGAGAGCAATCTCTTCGCATTATTAGTCGTTACAGTTATAATAGATTTCAAAACCGTTAGTTACTTCAACTTTCACGTTGTATCAACACTCCATTAATTGATATTGTGGCATGACTTTTCCTCTTCTTTTCAGTCAATAACTCTACAACACATCTAGATACATCCAAATAATTATAGATACATTTTGCTAGAATGACAACTAATTTGAAACGGAGGGAATATTAAACATCTAAATTCTTCTAATATATGGAGAAATGGATTTAGAAAAAACCGATTGCGGAAAATCAGAGTCAGTTTTATGTGCTCGTGAATAAACAAAGAGAGTTAATGGTTCATAGGCACGTGGTATGATACAAAAATATATGTTTGAAAGTAATAAATAGGAATTAAATATGGATATTATTGGATTATACTTTATAATATTAATAATCACAAATCTAAAATTGTTTTCGAGCATTTTTAAAAAACTTTAACAACAACAAAACCCGCGCATATACGTGGGCATTAGTGTCTCCTTGAAAGTTCCTTTTAAGGTCACTAACCCCTTGAAGTTCCTTTTAAGGTCACTAACCCACCGTAGTCATAATAGTTTGACTATCGACGTTAAAAATGTACACATAAATTTTTACTATACAAATTCAAACAAAACTAAGAGAATATATTTCATTGGGTGGGGCTACAACATTGAATGATTGAGGTGACCTGACCCACGAGATGGTGCTTTCTTTCTTTAATTTCTATCTATTCCTTCATATTTGCTAAGGTTTCTTTAGCAATTTTATTAATTTGTTTTTAAAATTATTTATTTGACATTCGGTTTTGGTCGTTAATCTATGTAATATCTCATTTTCTGATAAATAAGAAGACGTTTAAGATAATTGATTTGACTAAGATGCGTATCTTTTCAACCTTAATCTATTCACTTCTTTCATTTACACCTTATATCTTTTTAACTCCATCAACACATAATGTGAATCGTCTCATTGATTAATTAATTTATAGGATTATCTTGGTTCATCCGTATTTCTGTGAGAAAAGTCTGATTGACGAACTTGAGACTAGAGATGTGGCGAAGAGGAAAAAGGTTGAAGGAATGTGGGGAATTGCAAGTCCGAACAGCAAAGACAGAGCGGATGGTCCATTGATCAACGTGTTCGGATCCGAGTCTATCCGGATTGGATTGGACGGAATTTGGTAATGGTGGTGGTAGGTGATATATCTGAGAAACAAGGTTTGGGTTACACGTTGAAGCTGGAGAAGAGTGGATGGGGAGGAGAAGTTGAGGTGATAGAGATTAAGATGAAAATCCTCTTAAAACCAAGAAAAGGAAAATGAAGATTGTGTTATGCTCGTAAAGTGGTGAAGAATTTTGCAGAGTTTCTTAAAAACTAAAGATTATATATAATAACGAATAGGCTACTTTAAATGATTGTTTGATACTTGCGAGTGTATTGCCAATGATTTAGTGTTATTCTTTATTTTCGTTTTGCAAATTATGAATAAGTTTTAATCAAAATATTAGTTCTACCGCCTACCGGGATATGTTAAGCATTCTTTTGTGTTTGGTATTGTTGCAGGAGACTTCCTTCAACATTTTCTTGAGTTATAGACATGGTCATTAAGGATGCTAATGCAAAGGCTACCCCAAACATCAAACTACTAAACTCGGTAAATATACTTTACGTGGCTAAGAATCATGGATATATATTAACCGACTCAAAGGAGAGTTCCTTATCTTTGTAAGAAATGCAAATAGATACCTAAATCATTCTCTTATCAAAACTGACAGTGGAATAGTCTGTAAAGATGCACGGGGAGTCTGTAGAAGGAATGCTCGAAACACTAACAATTATTGAAAAAGCAGTACATGAACAACTAAGAGGTTTGTCCGTCAAGCTACGACGACGTCACATCAACTTCATGCACCTATCACTGGTTAGTCTAGCCAATAGTCCAAGAATCTCTCTTGGTAAGCCATAAGTACCATTTTAACATTTTTTTCTCCGCTTTGTAACCTTTTACAAGTGGATCTTACGTACCAAAGACTCTTCATGATACTTTTCCACATGACGAGTTTCTTCCAATTGTTCCTTATATCTACTGGTTGTAGAATTTAATTGTTACAGAGAATCTACCAAACATGAAAGTTGTTTCCTATATTGCGAGAATAATGAGTGTGAAAATATATTTCTCATCGATTGTTGTAAAGTACAAAACGATTTATGTTTTCCCATTTACGTTCTTTCAAGCTTTTCACGTTTCCATATTTGTCTATATATATATGTCATAACTTGATAGGTTTTATTAGTATATAACAATCTAAAACTTTAGATTTGAAATGCAAAAAACACAAATACAGATTTGATATGCAAAATACAAGAAAAATATATGAGAAAAAACCCGGGGAAATTTCAAAACTACACCTCTTGAGGTGCAAATTTTCAAAAATACACCTCTATGGTGCCAATTTTCAAAAGTACACTTTTTTCATTTAGTAAAAGAACTCCAAACCCTAAAATATAAATCCAAAACCCTAAAATCTAACATTGAACCCTTAAATCTAAACCCTAAACCCCAAAATCTAAACCCTAATATAGGATTAGTGAACCCAAACATATATATTAAAATTGGGAAAAGGTGTATTTTTGAAAATTTCCACACTATAGATGTAGTTTTGAAAATTTGCACCTCAAGAGGTGCATTTCATAAAATTTCTCAAAAAACCCGCGCGTATGCGCGGGTATTAGCCTAGTATTAATGAATAAGGCTATTTGGAACTTATTATGTTGCTTGTTATGTTATTATTTTCTGCCACCTTAGTGCTTTTTATTTTTGGATAAATCTATTATTATTAATTTTTTTTTTATAAATGGAATGCAATTCTTAAATATAACTATTTTTAATGAAACCCGATCAACCTTATGTTATTATTTTGATCAAGAGATAAATTTTGGAAAATAGTTTTTTTATACCCGATCAACCTTAACATCCATTTGATTGTATTTTTAGTTATGAAAATAATAGTTTGGATTATAATTACATGATTTTCTCTGTACCCGAATCTTACTTACTAATATCCTACTTTTATTTTACAGATAAATTTTAGATAATAGTATTTGATACCTCACTAATCTTTACCCGTTAATATATAATTTTAAACCCGCAACGTTTAAACTTTTATACATAGTAAAATAACATATATAATTATAAAAAAAAACAGAAAATAAAATTTTATTAGGAGTTTGATTTTGATGGAAAAAAGAGACCTAAATGTATTAGCTTGAAGTAAACCGAATCTCCTCCTCACTGTTTTTTCTTCTTTCAAATACTCTTTTTTAACATAATTATTTAATGGCTAAGAACATAGTATGTTTTATGAAAAAAAAAATTGTTAGAAACTCAATTTTGACAAGTAAAATAAAAATTTCAGGTTCTAGAAATATTTCAGATATACATAATTACATATTATGCCTCTTAAAGTGATAATAAAATCTCATAAAATTCTCTAACGGTCTTTTTACTCTTTTTAACATATCTTCTTCTTCTTTTGTTTTTTCTCATCTCAAACTCAGTCAAATTAATCCTTTTTTTTGTTAAGTCAGTCAAATTAATCTTTCTAATAAATCATAATTTTTTGGGGTGAAAGAACAAGATGCAAGACTTAGTCGTAAGAGACAACTCAATTCAACAAAAAATTATAACATGTTCGAATATACCAAAATTAACTGGCACAAAAAAATATCAAACTGATTCAAATATAGTTATGCTTTTACTCCTTTGATCTGAAACTGAATAAAGAAAAACAAGTTCACATGTTCATTCTTCACATTGAGAATGGTTCTGCATTCACCAAGATCGCAACCTTCGAGAACTCCTCTGTGGACTTCACAAAACAATCCCAAATGATACATTCTATCTCTATATAAAAAATACATCTCGTTTCATGTTTCAGACTATGAGCTTGACGTCCTCATGCAGTCTCTACAGGTATCACCAAGTAATAAGGACGCTCCTGATTCAGATAATCAAAAACATTCCAAATCAGTGTAATAACAACGGAAAAGAGAAAAGAGAGTTGCAATTACCCAATCAAGACATCTGAGAAGACCAATTCCTCCAGCATTAGCGACGGGGGCTACAAGTTCCGGTCCAGAGATATCTGTCCCTAATGGCGCGAGTTTTTCTATTGTGCTAATATTGTGGCTCCTGATGATGATGATCAAACACTTTCTGGATATCACCTTTTCTTTCTGCAAGTAAAATATCAATGTGGCATTTTCTTTCGGTTTGGTTTTGGGAAATAAAAAAACATGCAGCTGTAGAGTTGTTTAAGATTCATAAACACATAAAAACATATTGTACACGGATCAGGAAACCAATCTATCTGCAACAGTAACATTATCAAAGCGGATTACTGTACCTGAAAATGCATCACTTAAAGCTAAAAGATATATCACTGAAGCAGATAAACAATTGCACCAATGATTCAATGTGGAGAATCTTGAGCAAAGGCAAATGCATTTTAGTCAATACGAACACTGGAAGACAAATATACTGTAGATGTCTTAACATCAATAAGAACTCATTACCAGACAAAGGTTATATGCAGTAAACGCATTGAACTTACAATGCATCGAAAAACACTATATTCATAAGTACCGAAAAATGCCGGAGATTTATTTACTGAGATCGTGTTTCAAGAAGGCACATCTCCACCATGCATCTCCCAATTGTCTTCTTCTTCATCATTTTTCTTACTCTTGGTTGCTGCTGGTGCTTCTTCTCTTGTTCTTGAGGACGCCTGAAACAACCAACCAAGAAAGATGATTCACATACAAATTCAAGACCATCTCTGCTATTTCCATCCTTAAAAGCCAAGAGACAGCGAAGGAGCTCCAAAACTGTGTATTTCAAATCTTCACAGGATATTAAATCAAGTCAATCATCACTACCTAATGTGTTTTCACAGTATGAATCAATCACTGGAAAGAAGTTCTACCAAAATTTGTACAAATCACATGAGATAAGAGAGAAAAAGGGAAAAAAACCAGAACATAGTGAAGCGAGACCTTTTCTTATTACGCTTAGCGGCATCGCGAGTCCTTCGCTTCTTCTAGTCCTGTTTATTCTCAAAGTATCTCATTTGCTTGCATTCCTGGATAACTCCAGTTCTGATGACTTCCCTTCTAAATCGTTTCACAGCCATTAATTGATTCGACGGCGAGATCATTCCTCCGCCTGTGGGAAACCGTCGGAGAAGGAAGAGTGATATTGGGAGGTGGGGTAGCTTCCGTTTCAATCAGGGCCGCGTCGGAGGAGTCGGAGAAGCCGTCAGGAGAAGGAAGAGAGATATTGGGAGGCTGGTAGCTTCCGTTTCAATCAGTGCAGCGTCGGAGGAGTCGGAAAAACCGTCGGAAAAGGAAGAATGATATTGAGATTGAATTTGAGAGAGGAAATGAGACAAAGAGGGAGAAAAATTGGGATTGAATTTGAGAGTTATCCAGAAAGCGAAAACCAGTTTTTCTAAGATGACGTGGTTTTTGCTAACTCGTATTATTTAGAATGTTTTGATTGGTCAAACCTTTTAAATGATGTGTCACATTGTCTCTGCTTAAAAAAAGCTGATGTGTCAACTCCTGGAGTAACATAAGGGATGTTATTGTGTTGATTTAGACAATATACATAGATAATTTGACAATTAAATATATCACTATAATAGTTGTTAATTAGATCAATACAAATACATATAGTAAAATCATACATATTTACCCTATAAGATAAAACATTAGAAAGTGATATCATATAATAGATTGTAAGATTTCGTGATAACAAATACAAACAAATGATATAACATTTAAACAATTATGTGCTAACATCTAATCATTTTTTGCTAACATTATCTATTAACCAAATTAGTGAAATCATGTTAACATTCAAATTATTATACGCTAACATTCAAACCATTATACGTTAACATTTAAATCATTACTTGCTAACAAATTCGTTAACAACAAAATGTAAACAATCTATCATGATTTTTGTTAACAAGGTAACATAATCTATGTTAACAAGATAATGTGATGTTTGTTAGCAAATAATATGGTATTTGTTAGCGAGATGACGTATTTTTTGTTAGCAAAGTAACTAACAACTTATTAGCAGAGGGATATAATATTTGTTAGAGAGATTTAAGACTAATTGTTAGCAAGATTGTTGTGATTTTAATAGGGGTTTTATTGTCTTCAGCCATATGAACAGTGGACTAAAAAGTTGTCAGAAACAGCCATTTAATTTCAGAACTATTGATGTATATATAGTGCAATTTCCCTTAATTTACGTTTGCTATTGCTTGCTCCACTGAACATAATTTAGACTATCATGCTTGCTCAAAAGTCAAAACTTGAAGTTTATATGTCGTTTGCAATTAAATTGCTTGCGCCAAATAATATGTGCACACTGCAATTCGCCTGAACAAATCTTTTCTAACTTAACATTAAAACCAAAAAATTTGAAGACGATCTTTTCTAATTCCTATTAGTTTCCATTTTATAAAAAGGAAAAGACAAACAAGAAAATAATTATTGAGGGTATAATGGTCAATCGAGCACAATAAATTGCACGTGCTATAAGAAAACGGTATACAAATTTAGTAATTTACAAAGCACAAAATCATGCAGATTTAGGATTTTCCATATTTCTTCTTTTTACTTTTTTTCTTTCATATTTCCATTTTCCAGATTCTCCAAATTAAACTATATAAAGTGAATTAGGTGACAGGGTCTCTTACTTTTTTCCTGCGCTATTGATTCTTGACTTGAACTTGCCCTCGAAATCTCTGATCAACTGAATGCTTTATTCAACGATAATCAGAAAAAAGACATGTCTCCCGTTGAAAATATGGTCAAGGATTTCGAAACGACGATCAAAGTTTCATCCTCCTCGCCGCCGTCTAGTAGTAGCTGTGGTCACTGCTACGTTCGTTACGGAGTCTGCATCGTCTGCAAATCGGCGGTGGACAAAAGCCAAGGCAGAGCATTCGATTATCTACTCCAAGGTTTGCAGCTAAGCCACGAAGCTGTGAGGTCAACGAAGCGCTTTACAACGCAATACCATTGTCACAACAACAAGAAGCTTCACCTTGTCCTTGACTTGGACCACACGCTTCTCCACTCCGTTAGGGTTTCACGTCTCTCCAAAGAAGAAAAGTATCTAATCGAAGAAGCGGGTTCGAAAACAAGGGAAGATCTATGGCAGATTAAACACAGAGAAGGTTCCAACGATCCATACTTGATAAAGCTACGGCCTTCTCTCCGCAAGTTCTTGGAAGAAGCCGAGGAGATGTTCGTAATGTATGTTTACACGATGGGTACTCGTGGATACGCTAAAGCCAGGTTGAAGCTAATTGATCCCGATGGAATCTATTTTGGGGATAGAGTGATTACAAGAGACGAGAGTCCTTGCGAGAAGACGCTTGGTTTGGTTTTGGCTGAGGAGCGTGGAGTGGTCATTGTGGATGATACGCGTCACGTTTGGACACATCACAAGAGTAACTTAGTGCAGATTATTAAGTACAACTACTTCAGAGACAACGGCAAACAAGTGTCAAAAACATACTCAGAGGAGAAGAGAGACGAGAGTGAAAAGGGAGGTCCATTGGCCAAAGTTCTGACATTACTGAAAGAAGTTCACTGTGGATTCTTCGGAGTCAAGGAAGAGTTATTAGAGTCGCAGGACGTGAGGTTACTGGTACAATCGGCTTTGACTCAGAGGCAAAAGAGAAGAAAGGAAACGTTAGTAGGGAGCAGAAGCCTTTCCTCTGTAGAAACAGGTTCAACGTTCTTCAAGATGAAGACAATGAGTCTGTTTCTCTGTTTCCTGCCAGGTTTCTTCTACCAGAAATAGACTTCAAACTTCTCAACTAAGATTCATTGTTTGTGAATTGTGACCTCTCTCATTCTGTATGGAGAAAAAAACTTTATTATATATATATATATGCGGTGAATGTGGGTGTTGCAATATATTTCTTTAGAACAAAACTTATCTGCAAAAAAGAAAAAGAGATATATACCCTAGAGCCCTAGAGACTGGAGATCAAATCCATTGAAAAAAAATTAAAATACGAGAAAACATAACAACTATATCTATTAAAGAAATGAAGCTATGGCATCGAGAGCCAACGAGATGTTCGTAATCGTGGATACGCTGAAGCCTTGTTGAAGCTAATTGATCCCAATAAAATGTATTTTTGGGGACAGAGTGATAACAAGACACGAGAGTCCTTACGTGAAGACACTTGAGTTGGTCTTGGCTGATGAGTGTGGAGTGGTCGTTGTGTATGATACGCGTCACGTTTGGACCCATCACAAGAGTACGAGTACCGCTATTTCGGGAAACAAGAGTCAAAACAGATACTCAGAGGAGAAATGGGACGAGAGTGAAAACGACGGTGGATTGGCAAATGTTTTGAAGTTACTCAAGGAAGTTCACTGTGGATTCTTGGGAGTCAAGGAAAGAGTTATTTTAGAGTCACAGGACGTGAGGAGGTCTCGGCTACATGATCTAGACTTGAAAACCAAGTTTACACACCTAGTTAAATACCGAATTCCATATTACATAATCGTTTTCGAGTTACTACTATTCGGACTCGGACTCGCTTGATGAGCGAAAGATTGATGTAGATTTCAGGCGACGAGCTTTCAAAAAGAGAAGACTCAAGAAATCTCTCTCTTCTGGTCTTCCCTCGTACCCTTCAAACTCGAAAGTCTCAAGACTCTTCAACAAACATTCAGGAGTGAAACTCAATTCATTGCTCCAGTTAGTCCGTTCATAATTATCAAAATCGGATGCCTATGATTAACACACAAAAAAAAGGGTAAAAAAAAGGACAAGAGTTAATGCTACACTCGTTCAAAACAAAAAAAAAAAAAAAAAAAAAAAAGAGTCTACCAAGATACTCACATTTACATGGACGTCGAGATTGAGGACTCGCAGTTTAGGAGAATCACTGAGCAACCGGACAAGTAACTTGGACCAGTAATCCTCGCATATAGTTAGCTTTAGATGTTCAAGCTGATGGAAAACAATACCATCACTGTACTCAGACTGCATACACACATGAAAAAGTAATACAAATAAATTATTTCTATGAGTGATACAGTGATACCATACAATTTGAGGAGTTGAAACTGATAGATGGAAACAGATTACCTCGTCTTCATTGTTGAGAAACACTTGTAACGAAAGACGTTTGACAGGTGTGATCAATTCGAGAAACTCGTCCAAACCTCTCCCAACAGCGATAAATGCTTCTTCCAGTTTCGGCATGTGCTTAATCAAATAGGAGAGACCTCTGTGATCTTCAACTTTGAAGTAGTTCAAAGCAGGGGTATCTATCACAAACCCATCAGAAGAACATCGACCATCTATCCATAAGGACAACCTCTGCAGAGACGGGACGGTAACAACTACAGCTTTCACATTGTCATGTCCATGCCGTTCGATAACCAGATCTTCCAGAACAGGAAAAAAAGACGGAAGCAGTCCAAGAGAATCTTCATTCAAGTAGGTCACTTTTAGAAGCTGCAAGACAAACTACTCGGCAACACTACATGAGGTTCGTAATCGGAAGCCGTATGGTTGATACTTAGCTCACGCGCGCAGCGAGAAACCGCAATTCCAACCCACAGTTCGATATCCTCCGGTTGAACTAAACCGATACAGAATCTGAGGCGCAGGCTTTCTATGACCGGAGCTCTATGCAAAGGCAGATACTTTTTGATAAAATCTCGATACCTCAGGCGTGAAGACTCTGAACCACGATTGGCAACAGTTGTAATGTCACTGTAATAATCGTACTCAAGCTCAGGCACCCACATCCAGAGAAACTCCCATCGCTTAGAGAGAATGCTAGCGGAAATAGCAACTTTTGTCGGAGCAAAGGACAATATCTTAATCAGCAATTCATCGCAAAGTCCATTGATTCTGTCCATTTCTTACAAAGTCAAAGATACCGTTGAAAAAAAGTCTTCCCTTCTTCCACCTTCAAATCCAAAACAAGAAAAACACCGTTAGACTCAAAAGTGTGTTTTTTTTTTAAAGCCACACAGACAAGACCCTAGAAAAACCCTATAAATTGACAAACCTGTGAAGTTCACTACTTCACTGGAGGCTCGATTTCAGATCCGGAAGCGGAATTAGAAACGCTCGGAGAAATGACAAGGCGTTTGTCTGAGCCGCCGAATCGACAGAGAGGGGGGGGGGGGGAGGGGAGGGGAGGGGAGAAGAAGAAGAAGAAAAACGGGTTGGTTTATCAGAAGTTAATTGGGTTAGCGAATGGTTGGCCCATTAACCCATATGATTTCAGTCTCTTATGGGCCTGGGCCTTAACATTTTAATAACACAGAGTTGACATTTTTAAGTCGTACTAATTGGGAACGGAATGGACAAACAGAGATATTGAAAGCAAAAAAAAAAAAAGCAATGTCGTTTGATGTTTTTTTTTTTTTTTTTTGCTAAATTGTAAATATTCATTATAAAATGAAAAGGTTTGGTTTACAGATTGTGTTAACAAAATGATAACCTTACAAATGGTCCCATGGCAAAAAAAAGTGAAAAACATGGAAGCATAAAGACAATCAGTACTTTGTGTAACCCTTTGCAATGAAGTTAAAGGCAACAAAGTAGCGATAAAGTGCTTGTAAGCTCTAAAAGAAACTGAAAACAAAGTTTACCCGAGAACGTAGTGACAATTTAGAAGATGGATAAAGACGCACTCTTAGATAAAGGAAGCTGTTTCACAGGTAACCCGAAACAAACGTGATATTACTCCAAGGAGCTAGTGAAGGCTCGAGCAAGCTCTCGCTACACCCATCACAAGTTTGTCCTCAAATGGAGACAGTAAACTCAAGGACACGATCTTTTGTCAGCGACGTAACGTAAGGCACGGTGCGATGTGTAGTTGGCGATGTGGCACGTGAGGTTTGGAATGGAGATAAAATGTCACGATGCTACTCGGGAGAGGAATGGGTGGTACTTTGGGGCCATCTCTTCTCTCACACGGATTCAAAATGCATTAAAGTCTCAATTTTTTTGAATCTTAATGATCGAACTCGAACCCCATATTGATGACTAAATCATGTAACAAGTGCATTGGACTAAGCCAGCAAAAAGATAATAATAAAAAGTGCGGAAACGGCAAGAAACACGTTGAAGTTGACCCAAATCTATTGGGAGGGGGCAGGTTCGGATAACGTTTTTTGCAGTGGCTCGTTTTCTCACGCGACAATAATTTCATTTTTTTCTTCCTTCTCCATTTCTATTTTTTTATATCATTTTATCTTCAACACGTAAAAAACCAATCTCTTTTGTCACTTTCCTTCTTTTTAATAAAAAAACAGAAGAAATCAAAAATAAGAATCTTTGCCCGCTTCTCCTTTCTTTGGTGGGCGGTCATTTCACCAAAATTGATCCAGCCAATAAGGGAAGAAAATCCACCCAGAAATTCATCAGCGGGCAGATTTGATTTCTTCTTCTTTCTTTTTTTTTCGTTTTTTTTTCCTTAGGGGTTAGATTTATCCTACAAAATCCGCCTGGGTTTTTGGTTGGATTTGGGGTTTGATGGGTTTTCTGGTGGATACGCAAAAGGAAGGAGGTGGTCATTCATGGGGTTGCGTCAGGAGCTTGGTGAGAAGGAAACAGGTCGACTCTGCTAATTCAAAACCCGACGGTGCTCATGGTCATCATCAGCTCGCTAAAGCCCTCACTGTTCCTCACTTGATTGCTATTGGTAAATCCTTCATTTCTTCTGGGTTTCTTATCGTCTGTCAACACTTTTTGGGGTTTAGAGGTGGTTTTCTAATTTCTCAGATCATAGATTAATATGATTTGTTCAAAGACTTAGTTTTGTGTGTTCTGGATTGCTGGAATTATGAATAAGTCATTTGGATTGTGTTTATTTGGATGTAGCAATTTAATTTGTTCTTCACTTAGTGCTAGTAATAATAAGTTTTGGTTGTTGATTCTACTGTTAGGCGTTGGAGCAACAATAGGAGCTGGAGTGTATATTCTTGTGGGAACAGTTGCAAGAGAGCATTCAGGACCGGCTCTGGCTTTGTCTTTCCTCATAGCTGGAATTGCGGCTGGCCTTTCTGCGTTTTGCTATGCTGAGCTCTCTAGTCGTTGTCCTTCTGCTGGGAGTGCCTATCACTATTCTTACATTTGTGTTGGCGAAGGGTATTGCGCAAGTTCTTAGCCTTTTTTCCTTAATCTCTTGAATATGTTCTATCTGCTTGCTAACGATGTGGTATGGTATGCTTTGTTGTTATAAAGTGTTGCGTGGTTGATCGGTTGGGCTCTGATTCTGGAATACACGATTGGTGGCTCAGCTGTTGCCCGAGGCATATCCCCAAATCTGGTTGGTAACTTTTCTTTTTGCTCCTACTCTTTTGATTCCATTTACGAAATGCAATTTACTTTATCAGGCTGGACTCGGTTTCTTCTGTGACATTGCTCATGGCCTCACTATTGCTTGCAAATTTGTGTGAACTCTTTTAATCTTTAGCTTGCTCACTGTCGGTTTATTTCTTGATGATTATACGTTATGTGTAGGAAGCTCCATACGTACTACTGAGCTAGTTTAATCCTTAAAATCTGTTTTCTTTGGATGTCTGGTTGGTTTGATATGTTCTATGAGCTTATAGAAGATCACATAGGTTGAATGTTGTGGTGACTGTCAAATCCTTCCTTTCTCATGGATTGTTATTAAAAGCAAAATACACAAGGAAGAATTTTTCTGTTTTTTTTCACATTTCACATTCTGTTAGCATCAATAGTTATGCGTTGCTAATGCTTAGTCTTTTGAAAAAAATATTACAGGCACTGATTTTTGGTGGTGAAGATGGCTTGCCTGCAATCCTAGCACGTCACCAGATCCCAGGACTTGATGTTGTTGTTGATCCGTGTGCTGCTTTTCTGGTGTTCATTGTAACTGGCCTTTTGTGCCTGGGAATAAAGGAGGTACAAGCTTTATATGATTTCGATTTTCATGGCATGATAACTTTCAAATTAGTATTTTGATATATGGAATCTCTTCCATGCAGAGCACATTTGCTCAGGGAGTTGTAACTGCAGCCAATGTGTGTGTCTTATTATTTGTCATAGTAGCTGGTAGTTATCTCGGCTTCAAGACAGGTTGGGCTGGTTATGAACTTTCAACAGGAGGGTAAGATACGCATTCACCACGATATTTGGGCCATCGAGTTCAAGATAGGTTAACAGGAAAATCATTTGTCTTTTTAGGTTCTTTCCATTCGGAGTGGATGGAATGTTTGCTGGTTCTGCTACAGTTTTCTTCGCATTCATTGGTTTTGATTCGGTTGCAAGTACTGCAGAGGAGGTAAACTTTGGAACCCATTGCCTTTCTTACAACTACATAAGAGCTCCTTATAATACTATTCAACATCTATGTGGCAGGTGAAAAATCCACAACGGGATTTACCAATTGGTATTGGTCTTGCACTCTTGCTCTGTTGTGCTCTCTACATGATGGTCTCCATTGTAATTGTTGGTTTAGTTCCTTACTATTTGATGGATCCTGACACCCCAATATCCTCTGCGTTCGCTAGTCATGACATGCAATGGGCCGTGTAAGTGTATATGATTGTTTAAGACCAGCCTGTTTCATTAATATTTCGACATGTTTATGTGATTGAACGGTTTCCTTTTGGGATTTGATTGTAGATACTTGATAACTTTAGGAGCTGTCATGGCTCTCTGCTCAGCTTTGATGGGTGCTCTTCTCCCTCAGGTAAAGTAGAAACACAAAACAAGAGTCAATATCAGATACAGATATATGATACGATTGTCAGAAAAAGTTAGGTGTTTTTTCATTGGTGTGTGGCTGTTACTAAATAGGACTATTTTCCATTTTCCAGCCGCGGATTCTGATGGCAATGGCTAGGGATGGTCTGCTCCCTTCTGTATTTTCAGACGTTAATAAACGAACACAGGTTCCGGTCAAAGCAACCTTGGCAACTGGGCTTTGTGCGGCAACCTTAGCCTTCTTTATGGATGTTTCACAGCTTGCGGGCATGGTAAGAAACACTATGTTTTTGTTTTTGTTTTTCTTTTCAATTCCTGGTCTACTGGAACTTTTTCTTCTTATGGCCTGTTATTAAGTTTATGAGAGCTGCTGATGGGGCAGGTGAGTGTTGGGACGCTTCTGGCGTTTACAATGGTGGCAATATCAGTGTTGATTCTCAGATATGTTCCTCCAGATGAGCTACCTCTTCCGTCATCTCTTCAAGAGAGAATTGATTCTGTTTCCTTTATATATGGTGGTGAAACAAAGTCATCCGATCATGCTGGAACTTCCAATAGCAGTAAACAGCCTTTAATTGTCGAAAATGATGCTTCACTTCACTTTCCGATTCTCGAGAAGCAAGAAGCTCAAGGGTGTTGTAAGTTACATCCACTTTCAGACCAGCCATAGTTTCTTTTTCTTTGTCAGCACAAACTTCACATTTGTTACTGGTTTCACAGGGGTTCTCAGCGAAGAAAACAGAAGGATAGTCGCTGGATGGAGCATTATGTTCACGTGTGTTGGGGCCTTCCTTCTAAGTTATGCGGCATCAAGCCTGAGCTTCCCAGGGCTTGTTCGTTATCCGCTGTGTGGTGTTGGTGGAAGTCTCCTCCTTGTTGGTTTGATTGCTCTGAGCTCTATAGATCAGGATGATGCCAGACACACTTTTGGACATTCTGGAGGTAAGGCTATTCACAAGTTGATTTGGTAAAACAATTAGGACTGTTTTTTAGCATATGAAAGACTCGTGTGATATACTGATATGAATTTGTTTTAAACTTGCTGTTGAATAGGTTACTTGTGCCCGTTTGTTCCCCTCCTGCCTATCATATGCATTCTCATCAACATGTACCTTTTGGTTAACCTTGGGTGAGTATTTTTCTTCACTCACATCTCTCCTTTACTTATCATCTAATCTAATCAACTATCTCGACTGTGGTCAACATGACAGGTCTGCAACATGGGCTCGTGTATCGGTGTGGTTGTTGATCGGAGTGATTGTTTACGTTTTCTATGGCCGGAAACACAGCTCGCTGGCCAATGCGGTTTACGTAACTACTGCTCATGCTGAGGAGATATATCGGGTACATGAAGGATCTTTGGCGTAGTCTTGAGAAAGCACATCTCTTTGGTTGGTAATATATAATGTAACACCAATTCTGTATAATATTTATTTGGATGAAACAAGACTTTGGTATAAACAGAAAATCCGTCCACAGACTCTTTGTAAATAATATATATCACCATAGTTTCATAATCAGAAAAAGACTCGAAGTCTGAAGAGTATTGAGTCTTGTCTTTTTCTAATTTGACTCATGACTCAAATCTCTTTTCTAATTTGAGTAAATCTGAATTTGAGCCAAACTTGGAATATAACTGAAGAGAAGTGGCCTACTTGGAATATAACTTGAAGTAGTCTACAATCTTAATTAGGGTTTTAACTTTTAACATTCATAATTTCCTAGATATATTGGGGATGATAGTGAATTAGCAGAAGACTATTGGTAAATTACTTTAGAGAGTGTGACTTTAGTTTTTTTGTTTTTAAATGTGGCTGTGACTTTAGGATTTCCATTTTTCAGATATCAAACGGATTTAGGATTTCCTTATTTCCTTTTCTTTTTGAACAACGGATTTCCATATTTCCATACGTTACAGCCTCTTCCCACAAATACGTTACAACTATAATCTCTCCTCCTCTCCTATCATAAAATTTAGTTTTTTGGTTTGCCTCGATTGCTGAGGTTTTCTGTCAGTTGTTTACTTGCGTGTGGTGAGTGAGTTTGCTCTCAAAATCTCTTTGACTATAATGTCTCTGGTTGAAATAATGTCTCTGTTTGAAAACCTATCTCTGGAAGGCGAACCGGTGACCAAGTCCTCGTCGTCGTCTCCTAATAGCTGTGGTCACCGTTGCGTTAGTTACGGAGTCTGCATGCTCTGCGAATCGACGGTGGACAAAAGCCAAGGCAGAGAATTCGATTTTATACTCCCCGGTTTGCAGCTAAGCCATGAAGCTGTGGCGTCAACGAAACGCTTAGTAACGCAATTCCATTGCCAGAAGAATAATAACAAGAAGCTTCACCTTGTCCTTGACTTAGACCACACGCTTCTCCACACCGCTGGGGTTTCATGTCTCTCCATAGAAGAAAAGTATCTAATCGAAGAAGCGCGTTCGAAAGCAAGGGAAGATCTATGGTCGATGGAAGGAGACGATTCCATCGATCCATACTTGCTAAAGCTACGTCCTTTTCTCCGCAAGTTCTTGGAAGAAGCCGACAAGATGTTCGTGATGTATGTTTACACGATGGGTACTCGTGAATACGCTGAAGCCTTGTTGGAGATAATCGATCCCGAGGGAAACTATTTTAGGGATAGAGTGATAACAAGAGACGAGAGTCCTGAAGAGAAGACGCTTGATTTGGTTTTAGCTGAGGAGCGTGGAGTAGTCATTGTGGATGATACGGTTGGAGTTTGGACCCACCATTGGAGTAACCTAGTGGAGATTACCGAGTACAACTATTTCAGAGTCGACGGCCAACAAGAGCCAAAAAGTTACTCGGAGGAGAAGAGAGACGAGAGTGAAAACGACGGTGGATTGGCCGATGTTCTGAAAGTACTCAAGCATGTCCACAGTGAATTCTTTGGAGTCAAGGAAGAGTTATTAGAGACACAGGACGTGAGGTTTCTGCTACAAGAAGTAGACATCCAACTTCTTTTGAATTGAAACTTCATTATGTAGACACTTCCTTTAAGAGCATTGGAAGTTTTGTGATCTCTATCACTCTGTATGAAACTTTAAAGCAGATTAATTACATATGTTGTGAATGTGAGTGTTTCGCTATATTTCTTTCGCATTAATCTGATATAATATCTTTTAGGTAAGCATTGTGTTTACTACATAATGAACTTTTCTCTCAAAAAGTTAAAAGCAAAAGCATTGTATTTACTCTGCTTTTAATAGTCAAAAATAAGATTTGAAGCTCAAACATACGTTGAACTGATTAAGTCTTTGCGACATTCGAAGAAATTACGTAGAATAAGGAGTATGGTATGAATTATGAAGAGTCATATGGTGAAGTATATGGAAAATACATCAAGATTTCAAACTAAACAGCCTTATCAATGTTGTAATAACGTCAATACCACAAGATTTTGTAGATAGGGAAACAAGACTTGCTGTTTTTGTATCATATGTGAATATTTCATGAAAAAGCATGTTCCTCGTTCAGCATCTTCTTCAGCTCCGCAAGAAGGTGGAAGTAGACGTTAGCCGTTTGATACTCTCCATCGAAATGCTCCTTGGCGACTGTATAAATGCAGCTCGCGAGCTTGCAGAAAGTCTTGATCTGTATCCATTCCTCATAGATTTCAAACTCAAGAACCCGTGCTTCCCGAACGTTCTTGTAACAACGGCCAAACGTCAAGATTTTTGTAGTTATTGCAAGATTTGTTGTTGTTCTCGTATCCTAGAATATATTTATAATGCAGTGTGCGTTGACTTGCTTGGATCCACTTGGTTTGACTAGTACAATGGTTCCAAACCGTGCACAACAAATTGTCACACTACAGTGAAAGATTTCAGATATTTTGACATGCTGTACATCGCATTTGGCTTAGTTACGTTGCCAAAACCCTAGAGAATATCTCCGATTCCAATTCCAATGTGAGATCGGGAAACATCACTGCTGCCTTGTTAAGGAAGAAAGCGACATGACTGCAAAAGAGAAATTAGGGTTTTAACCTTTAACATTCATTATTTTCTTATGGAAACTAAAATCTATTGGGGATAATAGTGAATTAGCAGAAGGCAAAGGACTCGGAAAGAAAATAAAATTGGAAAAGACTGACAAACAAATAATTTTTGAGGGCAAAAAATTGTCGATTGTTAATTATAGGCAAAACAACTTCAGAAAGATTTAGGATTTCCATTTTTCGATTGTTGTTACAGGCAAGATATCAAACGAATTTAGGATTTCCTTATTATAATATTTCCATTGTCTCCAAGCTGCTAAACCATATACAGTATAGTGATAGCCTTTTCCAACAAATACGTCACAACTATAATCTCTCCTCTCCTATCATAAAATTAGTTTTTTCTTCTCTCGATTTCTGAGGTTTTCCCATCAATTATTTACTTGCGTGTGGTGTGAGTGAGTTTGCTCTCAAAATCTCTTTGATCAGTGCTTGGGTATTTTCAAATTAAAGGGTATACTCAGCAAAGACAATACATCAATAAGCAAGAGAAATCATGTCTCTGGGAGTCGAACCGGTGATCAAGGAGTCCTCGTCTCCTAGTAGCTGTGGTCACTGTCACGTTAGTTACGGAGTCTGCATGCTCTGTGAATCGACGGTGGACAAACGCCAAGGCCTACCATTCGATTATCAACTCCAAGGTTCTAAGCTAAGCCACGATGCTGTGACGTCAACGAAGGGATTTATAACGCAATACCATTCTCACAAGAAGAATAAGCTTCACCTAAAAAAAAAAAAGAATAAGCTTCACCTTGTCCTTGACTTGGACCACACGCTTATCCACTCCGCTAGTGTTTCATGTCTCTCCGAAGAAGAAAAGTATCTAATCAAAGAAGCGGGTTCGAAAACAAGGAAAGATCTATGGAAGATTAAACTCGGAGAAGATTCCACCGATCCATACTTGATAAAGCTACGGCCTTTTCTCCGCAAGTTCTTGAAAGAAGCCGACAAGATGTTCCTAATGCATCTTTACACGATGGGTAGTCGTGGCTACGCTGAAGCCATGTTGGAGCTAATTGATCCCGATGGAATCTATTTTGGTGATAGAGTGATAACAAGAGACGAGAGTCCTTACGAGAAGACGCTTAGTTTGGTTTTGGCTGAGGCGCGTAAAGTGGTCATTGTGGATGATACGCGTCGCGTTTGGACCTATCACAAGAGTAACCTAGTAGATATTAGCAGGTACCACTACTTCAGAGTCGACTTCCAACAAGAGTCGAAAAGTTACTCGGAGGAGAGGAGAGACGAGAGTGAAAACGACGGTGGATTGGCCAATGTTCTGAAATTACTCAAGCATGTTCACAGTGGATTCTTTAGAGTCAGGGAAGAGTTATTAGGGAAACAGGACGTGAGGTTTCTGCTACAAGAAACAGACATCCAACTTCTCAACTAAGATTCAGTGTTTTGTCTTTTGAATTGAAAGTTCATTATGTAGACATTTCCTTTAAGCGTTGGAAGTTTTGTGATCTCTATCACTCTGTATGAAACTTTAAAGCAGATTACATATGTTGTGAATGTGAGGGTTTCGCTATATTTCTTTCACATTAATCTGATATATATATCTATTAGGTTGTGTTTACTACATAATGAACTTCAACGAGGTTTCTGCTACAAGAAACAGACTTCAAACTTCACAAGAAACCAAATAAAGAAAAGTTATCTTAATTAGCAGTCTTTCAGTAATGAAACTCTCGGGTTTGCGTCATTAGAAAACTATCCTTGTGTAAGATTTAAGCAATTCAGTTGAAAGATTAATAAAGGAGCAGGGTTATAAGGAAAATGCTCTGTTACTCTCTACAATAAGAACTTTCCATGAGTCACAGCTCAATTCATAGATTTTAAACTCAACAGCCTTGTCATTGTTGTAATAACGTCAATACATCAAGATTTTGTAGTTAGGGCAAGAAGACTTGCTGTTTTGTATCAAAGAGCAAATAAATCACAACTGTTTTGCAACAGTTCATTGGTTTGATTCTTCTCCGCCTACTCCTGTTCCAATATTTGTTGACAAAATAATATCAAAACCAGTAGTTATGAAATTAATCAAATCGACATTGTTGGAAAAAGACAAAAAAAAAAACACCCAAACTAGTAGTAGTATCCTGCTTGAAACAAGGACAAAGAAGTAAAGCATGTTCAAGAAAAAAGCATGTTCCTAAAATGAAAAAAAAAACAGAGTTATTGAGTGTCCATGAAGCATGTTATCAACGACGTGGCCAGCTCTCGCTGCACATCATGGCGTTCACAAGCTTGGCCTCCAAGGAGACAATAAAATCAGGACACCCTCTCTTGTCCACAACATAAGCACGGTGCGATGTGCCACGCGTGACAGGAATCGAGAGAATGTCACGAGCCACTCGTGACAGGATCGGATACTTCTGGCTCTCTTCTTTCCACCATGCCAATGCCTGGAAGTCTTTCTTCCACTCCAAAACCGGTTCCTTGAGATACGCTTCAAGCTCTCCTTCACAAAGCTCTCTCGAAGCTGAAGATCCTTCAAACTTGAGATATTCTTGAAACAAAACAAAATCATCATACGCATCCGGCTTCTTCTCCTCCTTCTCCTTCTCCTTCTCTTTCGCTCTCTCTCTCTTTTCCTCTTCTTCCTCTTCTTCCAATATATTCTTAATCCAGTCAGGATGACGGTAAACCGCACCATCCCCATGTTCTTGCCGTGGACCGACATCGCTAGCTGCGTAGCTAGAATAAAGACTGCGTAGATAGTCCAAAACGGTTTCAGCCTTTGAGCCTTCGTTCTTGGAGCAGTAGAACTCAAGATACTTCATCTTGAAACGAGGGTCCAACACAGACGCAGTTGCCAAAACAAGAAACATATCGTTCCAATACTTATCAAACCTCTCCAACACCTCCTTCTCTTTGTCGAGGACGTACTCTTCATCCCAGCTCTTCATCTCCTCGTTTAGCATGTTCTTGAGCTCAGCAAGAAGGTGGAAGTAGACGTTAGACGTCTGATACTCTCCATCGAAAAGCTCCTTGGCGACTGTATAAATGCAACTCGCGAGCTTGCAGAAAATCTTGATCTGTATCCATTCTTCCTCATCTGGCTTCTCGTAGACGTCGTAATCCTCATCCTCTTCAAACACGTTCTTGGCTTCCATGTCAACAGCTTTCTGCAGATGACGCAGCGTCACGTTCCAGTTCTTAGGCGCCATTGTTCCACAGCCAACAAGCATCCGAACACAGTGCATCAACGAAAACCCTATCTCCTTATACATGTCATCAACCATTAACCTAAAAATGTCAGAGCAGCAGTAAACGAGGAACGCATTAGGGTTTATCTGAGTCTTCCCACTCTCCTCAATCCATTTCCTGAAATCATCAAACGCCTTCACACCGAGATCGCTGTAGTTAGGCACGAGGAGAGTCGAGACCTTGCTCTCGATCCCGTACTCCGCGATCACGTCCTTGAAAGGATCCACGTAAACGTCTTTCACACGCATGGAGGAACGTGGATGGTACGCCAAGATCCATTTGTTCATCTTGAATCTCGCGTCGACGAAGTAGGCGCTGACGACGATGAAGTCCTCGTGCAGAAGTTCCATGTTGTCTTCGTCGATCCCGTAGTCATCTCCATGAACAATCCATTCGTAGGAGAGTGTTAGTTTCCCTTGCGAGTCTCTCAAAAGTTCCTTGACTTTCTCTTTGCCTTGTTCGTAAATCTCCATAACCGCGCTCACGAGTTTGGAAGTTTCGAGAGTGACATTTGGGGAAAATGTGTGTATCAAGTCTGAAATGGCCGAGTTCTCAACAGAAGGATTGATCCCATAACCGATAGCAATTTTAGCTATAGATTTATAACGACGCTTCTCCTCTTCCGCTAGTGAAGAAGAGTCAACTTCAGCCTTGTCATCATCATCAACATCGACAGATCTGTCCAGCTTTTGCTTCTTCTTCATATCTAAAATTTCCAGAATGGTATAAAACATTCAGAGGCACTTAAACTAAACAATATAAGCAGAGAAACAACCTTCATGTCCAATGTAGAGACTATAATCAGTTCATAACCCTAAAAAGACGGAAATTGGAGATCAAGTCCGTTGAAACAAAATTCGAGTATCAAGAACAAGTATAATTTATTGGAGGCTAAGGAGTGAGAAATTAAGGAAGAATAAAGTAGAACCTGAAGTCGAGGAACCGGAGGCGAGATTGCTTTTGTCCATATCACTGTAAGTGTTGATTTTTGTTTCGTGGGGGAGAAGAACGGCAGAGACAGGATTTAGGGTTTTCGTTTTAGGGAAGACGAGAAGACGGATTCCGATTTTCAGTGATGCTCAAATCACTTTATGGAGTACGATTTAGGCGGGTTTAGATATCGAGACGCATTGACGATCAATCTAACGGTTGGTAACGCAAACGATGGACGGATGAGATTTGTGCATTTGAATATTTGGGCCTTTAATGGATCTATATTTTGGGCTGGTTGTTTTTTTAGGATAAGTTCTAAACGACGTCGTCTTCTTCAAATGCTTTACCTGATGTAGTCTGAAGTCTGAAAATCCAGCGTTGAATGCGGGATTGCTTCTCTCCGTCTCTCTCAAAGCTCGAAATTTCGCCGGTAAGCTCTGATCTATTTGGTTCTGTCTCTCTCCCATTTTGGTCTGAAGTTTTTGTATCGATATCATCTATTTCTTCTCTTCAAATCCAATGTAGAGGCCTTCTTCAGTTCCTTTTTGTGTAGGCGATCCTAGCAGAGATTTTGGATGGATGCTGATTTATATTCAAATGTTTTGAGTTTTGTTTTATCGTGAATTTTACCAAATTTTTAAGATTTCTGTACAAGTTCGATCATTTGTACTTGGGGTGAAAAAGTAAGCTTGCTCTTTGACTTGCACAGCCTTAGATTCTATGTATTGAAGGTTTTACATTTCTGATCGATGATTGTGATCTTGTATTTCCGTAACAGGAAAGGAAAATAAAACGTAACTGAAGAAGAAGCCCAAAATATCTCTTGAGGAAAATGCCGTCTCTACAAACTTCTCTGCCTCCTGAAATTGCTAACAGTGTGGTTAGGGTCAGTATCACTTATTCGATTTTCTTACAGTGTCTTCATTAGCTTGTGTTTTTTTATTCTTCTTCTTTTCTTTCCCTAATGCTATTCGTGTCTTCATATGGGCAGTTGTACCGAGAATGTCTTCGTAGAGCTAAATTTATTGGTAAGCAGGTGAGATTCTCTCAACTTATTCTTTCTTTGAGCTTTGTTTGTCAGACTCGGACACTCTGTTGTGTTTGGTATGATTGCCATTATTGTTTCTAGTATATAATGTTTGGATAAAAGGATTTAATTTTAGCACTTCGAAACTAAATTAGAGTGTGATTGAAGCTTGACCATTTGTATTCATATGGTGCACCCAGCAAATTTTGAGTTTGATAATATCCTGTCATCACTTCTGTTTTGATTCTGCGAGATAAAGATTTGCCTTTTGTGCCTAGATTTGGTAAGGGAAATGAACTTTTGTTCTGTTTACTTTCTTGCAGCAATACAACACTGAGCTGGTGGTTGGTATGGTGAGACAGCAATTTAAGAAACACATGAATGAGACAGACCCTGAGAAGATTCAGAAGTTAAAGGATGAGTGAGTTTTCTTTTTCTCCCTTAGCTCTAGTGAATGCTGCAACTTAAAACCTTGTGATTGGTTTACAACTTGTTGCAAAATGATGTTTCACACACACACACACGAACAGTTGCACTATATCATTGATGCATATATTACAAAACACTCATGGGATTCATACAATTGAAAAGTTTGGAATGACTCAAAAATGTTGATGTTGGTGCTTTGCAGTGCTGCTCGGGGACTCATCAACCACATGTTGTTTGAGTCAGAGAAGCTAGTAGGACGCAAGGTTGGCCAGAGATCCTGATGCAGACTCTCACTCTCGTCGTTATGCTCTCTCTCTCTGGTTTCATTGTAGGCTAATATTGCAGCGAAGTTGGCTTTTTTAAATAAAAGACTTTGTCTTCGAGTACCTTCAGTGATTTCATAACATTGATGATTTTGGTTTTGCAAATCAGTCAAGTGGTTCTATACTTTCAGATCGAATCATACAGTTCTTTGACTCTGGTTTATATACGTTATGTTTAGACACTTCAAAAAAAAATCATGATTTTGACGAAGTAAGTCTAAACAGAACCCGTTTTCGACTGAGATTCAGTACATAAAAAGACGACATTATTAACAGAAACATTCTTATAACAGAGAAAACAATGTAAAGTTGCTAGGCCAAGAAAACAAATTTAGAAAAAGGTGCTGCTATGTTACATCATTGTGACTAGTATACAACAACATTCAGTCACTTGATTCAGTGCTCATCTTTCCGAGAAGTAGCAAAGGCATAAAGAAGAAATAAACAAAAACCCAACGAACATACAGAGTGATGATGCATTAAAGCATCATTTTCACTAAAAAAAGAACCGTTCTAGTAGAGATAAGCACAAACTGTCTCCAAGATTGACGAGTTTCTTCAGAAAATAATATGGAAGATACCCTCCTGAGATGAGACTAGTCTCAAGGTTCTTGAGGACGTCAAGGCTCTTGGTCAACTTCACCCATCATGTCATTGACACGTTTTAAGATACGAACAATCTCGTTAAACAGCAAGTAATCAAATGTTCCTTCTCTTCCTGAGGTTTCTTTAGAGAGGTCAAGCGGCGTTGGGGGGTTTTGACAAAACACCAGGTCGAATCCCCCAAACCTCTCTATCAAATTCTCCAGCTTAATTGTCCTTAACCTCTCGATATCTTCAATCTGCACAAGCTCTCCGGTTTGTCCTGAAGTCTGCCACCACCTTTTCACTATTTTACGGCTCAGCTCACAGTGCTCAACAGAGACTACACCTTTCAGATGGATTCCTAGGCGGTTCAACGCGATTTCCACACCACCGATCCCGCTAAAGAGCGATAAAACTGTTAACCCTTGAGGAAACATACTCTTCAGCACAGAGAGATGGTAAGCCAATGTGTCTGTCTGGAAACATGACTCAAACAGCTTCAATCTTTCAGCCAGTTTCCCACCAGCTATGTTCGTGTGGTTTGCTGGATATCCCATGATGCACTCTAAGTGCTCAGGCTCTACAGGTGAGAGGATGTTTGGAGCAATCCAAATAAGATTTGAGTTGTGACAGTGTCGAAGTATCAGAGTCTGTTCTTGCTGAGAAGGCCTCCCCCTGCATCCAGCTAAACAGCGTCCAATTCGTTCACACAGATGAGTTGCATCGTTAGTCACAGAAAACGCACCGTCGTTCAGATACTTTCTGACATCCCATTGTGGCCACCAGCTCTTCACATGCGGCATTGCGTCTTGCATAGTTAACCGTGGCTCTGGGAGGATGTTAAACCGGTTCTCGACCGGAAGATTGTGCAGGTACCCTTCTCTCCTACGGAGCGCTGAACACAGCCGTGTATCTACATGTTCAGGGTGAATTGCATACAAGAAGGTTGAGATCTTGGACCACCACTTAGGAGATAGTTCACCTAAGTTTCCGTAGAAGAAATAAGGTCGTCTGGCTACATCTGAGCTAAGCCTCTGAGACAGACGTGGCTGCATTTCACTGGGGAATTCGTATGTGTCCTCTTTTGACTCGTCTTCCATCCATGGGGGTTCCATAAACGAACTTGACTCTCCCATATCTTCTGGTCTTAGCCGTTTCCCTCTGTCATCAAAGTCTGGATACTCGTCATTCTCATCTTCATCTTTTGGTCTTTTACCCCTTGAGGTCTCTCCCACATTGGCAGTGGCAGGGAAAGGAGAAGAGTCAACACCAGGATCTGGTTTTATATCAGCATTGCCACTCGAGGAACCCACAGCACCATTCTTTTTCTCGGCGCCAACACCAACAAATCTCCAACTTTTTGAGAGACATGTACGATTCTCTTCAGGAGCCGCTGGCACTTTCTGCAGTGGAGCCAAATATCATTGAGTAATGATCCAACAATATCTTAAGATTAATTAAGAGAAGAGACTGAGATGGTTTCGGTAAAGTAGCAAAAAGCTCTTGAAGGAGCATACCTTTTTTGCATCTCCATGGTTATTAGGAGAGTCACGAAGAACTTCACCAGTAACAATTGACTCAGCGAGGTCAGAGATCTGACTTTCTCTACCTGAGGAGGTGCAAAATAGATTAAGTACCAGTACAACAGGGCTGGATGCAATATAAAGTATAGTTTACTCATTTCACCATTCGGTTATCATGATCATCCCTAACAATATAAACCAGGTTTCATATCAATATATTGGCAGGCAGTCAGATCAGTTGTTTCGCTCATGCACATTCCATAAATTGGATGGACAGGTAAGTGCTTAAGTTGCGCACCTATCTTCTCAATCGCCATTGAGACTTCATGACTAGAGAAACCCATTTCCAGTAGATGCAAAGTTTTGTCCATTGTCTCAAACAATACTTCATTGGGAACCTGCATGTAAAACATGAAACAAATGTTAAGATGTAACAACCACATGAATTAATACAAAGGTCGTGGAATCTACTAAGGTGATGCAACAAAAGGACATAAATGAAAGCATAAGAATTTGCAAGGAAATCAACAGCTAATGTCGAAAGCATCAAAGACCTCAGGTTCCGTAGCAGCAAGCGGAACGACATCGTCATCTTCTTCATTGATTTCAGTACCATCAAGTGAGTCCTCGGATTCTTCTGCATACTTTTCAGCTAATTGAGCAGCAACAATGAAGTCCACCATCTCGTCAATTAGGGCGTCTTTACCTATCACACAAAAATTACAATCATGAACAAAAGGCACTGCGAGCATGCCAAATGACAGCTGCTAAGTTTCTGTATGGCTCCATATAACATAAGCATCATTTCTAAACAACAGCTCCATAAATGGTATTTCTCATGTCAGATAAAAAAACATTGGCGTCATGACCTATAAGGTTCCTCAGTTTTTTCCTTATTCCACATGACATGCAGTGAAAAGTTCCAGAATGTTACGCATGCAAGTTTAAGAACACACAATGTGTTTTTGGCAGTAGTGAGAAATTTGGTCCATTTTAACAATGTATACGAGGTCCAGTATAAAATGAGCAACCTTTGCTGTTTGAAAATTTGAATGGAAGCATTGTGAATACATTACCAAGCCTATCCAGTGCCAAGTCAACTAGATTTTCCGGGAACTCCATTGTGAGCAACGCCATCCTTCTACCATCTTCATATTCAATATCAGGCTCCTGTGACAGAAAAGAAAGAAAATTAAGAAGTCACATTGAATGAAAATACAAGAAATGTGCATCATCACACGTTATGCTGCCATTTACCGGTTTGGGTTCCATTAGCCCATCAAAGCTAGGTTCAGGATGTTCCATTAGAGAACTCTTGGTAAGAATCTCTATCAACGATTCAAGATCATCTTCACCTGGAAAGTGAAATGGCAGCCTCAGAAATAGCCTTTCATAAGATCACAACAAAAACTTTATAGGAAATGTTTGAATACCATTTTCATCAATTGCTTTCTGAACAAGAGTTGAGGAGAATCCCATATCAATCAACAATGACTTCAGATTACTTCCAGAAGAACTAGCAGCATTGTCCTGCACATCATCATCATCAAGTAGGAAACAATTAGAACCTTCCTGAACACCACTACTTGTTCTTCAACTGAGATGATGATGTGACAATATACAGACATATAATTCCAAATCGTTTATGTCTCTAGGTATAGAAAGTTTAACATACACTGATCTGCTGAGGGCGAGATGTGTCGCAGGGCAAGTCGAAATCTAAGGTCTCTGGTTTAGGAAACAGTACTTGTTCGTTCCTTTCATGATCAGAGGAGCCTCCAGCTCCGGTTCGTCTACGCATATCAGCCTGCACGATTCTCAAACTTGTGAAAGATGCAACTCAAAACAGAAAAATTAATCCAAAACAGTATGCAGCTTTCATACCATTTGGAGAAGATAAAATCACACAGAAAGCTCACCAACGAGATAAAAAGTTATGACATGAAAAGGCCTGCACATAGTGTTGGGAAAATGTGTCAAGTGTCACATTCATGGATTGTTATAAAAATGTACCAAAAATAACACAACACAAAGATAATAAAGCAGCTCCATAGTCATTGATAATCCTCCCATAAACGGCAACGGAGAAGATGAATCAATTAAAAAGAATCTAAAAGACGTAAACCCCCCAAAATAGAACTCCTCGAACTAAGAGATGAAACCACCGAGAGTGATAGGCACTTAAAAAGAAATTCTCAATTGCACACAAATTCCAGAGATTGCGACATAGAGAAAGAGAGAGAGTGTGAGTGGAAGTAACCGTACTTGCTCAGGAGGAAGAAGGCGCATGCATGTGCGGTGGTCCGCGTCTCACCCAGGCGAGTCCGGTCCGGCGGAGGGAAGCTAAGAAACTGATCGCACTGTGCCGCGGCGCGTGGACTTCACAGCAGGACTATGGTGAAATCTGAAGCGAATCCGGAATTTAATAAATTCGATCGAGCGCGTGAGGAAAACGAACGGCCTAGATCGTATAGAGTTTGGTTGGAACTTCAATATATTTTGTTTTTTAATAAAACTGAAAAAATAACAAATATTCTCTATATGAAATTTTGTTTTAGATTTATTTCCTATGAATGCAAAGTTTGTATATTTCCATTATTTAGAGTTCTAAATAAATAAAAAGTTGAATAATCAATAAAATTATATACGTGTTGTAACTTGTAAGATATGTTTTTTTTTTAATGTGTATGCAAAAATATACAGAAAATATTTTACATAAGAAACAGTAAGAGAAGAGTACCAAAAAAAAAATTTACAAAAAAAAAGAGTACCAAATTTTGAGATTGGATATGTTAAGTGGTTCAACTTAACAGTCTATTTCACAGCAAGATATAACTTTTAAACGAAGTCTTGTTGAGTTTGGTACAAAATGGAACACCGAGGTTATGTGACTCTCTTGACGTCAGGGGTTTTTGTCGAGTGAATAAATGTGCTTATAGTTTTGTAAATTATCAACTTTTTTTTTTCATATTGCAGAGAATAACACACACACACAAAAATGAGAAACAAATTAAGTAATTGGACTAATCTTGTTCAAAGAAGATGACAAAAGAAAACAAAGCAAGAGTAAAACAAAAGCGCAAGAAACAAACTCTAGGTCTTGTATGAGTGGACTAACTAACAATAACCTGGTTTCTTTTCCTTTTGCCTCGTGGGGGCAGATTGCTTGATTTGCACTGGACTTGGGACATAAGAGCACACATATGGAAATTGAAACTCGTGTTCAGATTCTCCGAGATCCAATTGTTTGGAGAATCCATCCTCTCCAAAGATGTAAGCTGTGTTGCGAGTGGGTTTGTATAGATGTTGTTTGCCTTTGGCAAAAACCACTGCGACTTTCTTCTTCTCGTCAACGAAGAAAGTCGCGGCTGTATCCCGAATTTCTCTCATTCGAAATCTTAAAAACATCTTGGTCCATGAAACCGCATTGGGATCAATCTTATTACTAATCCATATTTCCGTCGAACCATCAGTCCAGTTCTCAACTAACACAGCAAGTTTCTCTCCCATAACACTAGAAAGAGTCACAGTATCTTGAAAAGGCAGAGGCAGATGAGGACCAAATCTCTCAGTTGTAAAATCAAAACAGATCAAGAAATCAGGAGTTTCTTCTTCTATCTCTCCTTTACGAGCATTCCAGTAAGTATTCCCTTAAGAGACACGCCACGACAACCTATATTCCAGCTAGGAGTGACCTCAATAACCTTCCATGAATTAGTGTCAAAGTTGTATATTTCAAAGTCGTGAATTCTGTGCTTTACACTCTCGTCGTAAGCATCCAAATATCTCAAAATTTTGTGGATTCGATGCGATTTGTTCTTCATCTCGTATCCGAGAGCGTACATGTCCATTTCGTGGTAAGACTTACTCGGTTCGATCCAGCTTGTTTGCCCACAATAAGGGTTCCAAACCACAAGCCTAGAGTTGAGCTCTAGGGTGAAGCATAACAATAAACCATCGCAGTGCAATACTGTATCTTTAATGACTAGATCATCGCAGTGAAAGGCTGTATTATTAAGGCTGATAAATTTACCTATGGGCTGTATAGATGACTCAACGCTGTCCCCTTTGTGGATTCCATGGAGATTGACGCTCATTAGATAAGCGATAGAATTCATCGTCATGATCACAAACGACTCCTTCATTTGCTTCTTCTTTGCTGCCTCGCCAATTTGCTTCTTTGTAAAGCTCTCATGTTTGGATATAGTGTTCCATTTTGTGCAAGTAAATCTCACTGTTCTCATGGATGTCACCGGAACTCTAGAGAGCACCTCCTCTACCAAATCCCGTGGAAGATCGGAAATGGTCGTCATTGTTTCAAACAAGGGTTGGTTCTACGGTCTAATGGTAATTAGGGTTTTAGTTACTTCCACGCTTTTATATAGAGATACATAGTTACGGTCGAATAAATTAGGTCAACCCACTCTATGGACTTTGGTCGGTAACTTCGTGGATAACAAAAACACTCTTTTTTAACGAAAGCCTTGTTGGGTTTTGAACAAACTGGATACTATCCAATTATATAAAAGGGAAAAACCCTGAAAAATACACGAACTTAATTATTTTTGGAAGGAAAATACACCAACTTTTTTCGATCTCAGAAAAATACACGAACTAATTTTCATATCTAATTTAATACTCAAACTTTCAAAATTTGGAGGTTTTAAATCGGAATTAACTGTTCAGTTAACTTGTTTAACAGATGTTAGCACACTCCGTTTAAAATTAATAGGATATGGGTTTAACACTAACGAAATGACCATTGTTGTCCTTTTAGAAAAACCCAAAATCAATTTCTATCAAATCTCAGAACCCTAAATTCAATTTCCCCAAATCAATTCAATGTTCAGCAATATAACTAATCCCATGAATCCAGAAATTTACTCCATGAAACTCTAAAGAAACCAATCAATATTTAATCTTGTCACAGAGAAAAGAGAGCAGTGACCCGTGAATTTGGTGTTGCATGATTCACATGTTTGATGAAACATGTGGAGACAAACGAAGAAACAATTAGGGATAATGAATAATACTTCTTTTTTACGGCATAGTTTGAAACAAAACAAAAGAGAAAGAAATCAGAATTCTAATTCCTATGGAAGCCCTGGTGAAGAAGATGATTCATAGGAGCTCTTATGGATTTTGACGAAATTATGTTCTTTGTGGATTTAAAAGCAGAATGAAGAAGTGATGCTCTTTGTGGATTTAAAAGCAGAAGTCGTTGCATGTCCCTTGGAAGTACATTGAACACCACTTGTTTGTGATTCACAATTTGATTTGGGAAACTGAATTTAGGGTTTTGATTTGAGGAAAATTGATTTGGGGTTTTTTGAGAGGGACAACAATGGTCATTTTGTTAGTTTTAAGCCCACGTGATATAATTTTAAACTACGTTTACTAACATCCGTTTAATAAGTTAACGGAGCAGTTAATTACCGTTTACAACTTCCAAATTTTCAAAGTTCGTGTATTAAATTAGATATAGAAATTAGTCTGTGTATTTTTATGAGATCCAAAAAAGTTGGTGTATTTTTCTTCTAAAAAAAATTAAGTTGGTGTATTTTTCAGGATTTTTCCCTATATAAAAACTAGGTTTCAAGCCCCGCGCAAGCGCGGGGTTGTTTGCAATAGTTTTTCTATTTAATTTTATTTATACTTATTGATTTGAATTATGATGGTTTTGTATTAACTTTCATGTTTTTGTTATGTTTTGAGTTAACTCAACCACTAACACTAAAAATATATGAATAATTTGTTTTTTATTTTAATTTATTAGGATATTAACACTCCGCTTTATCTCGAATTTTCTATTTCTAAAATTTATCATGTTATAAATATTATGCTTGTTTACTTTTTTTACTTCTATTAGACTGTAAACATGTATATGTATTTGATTGAAGGTTAAAATTTATAAATATGTATATGCATTTGACTGAAGGTTAAAATTTGTAAACATATTCTTGTTTTTCACTACAATTAAATTTACATATAAAATTTCATTTCTATTTGTTTAGAAAAAAAACTCTAACTCTAATGTTTCATTAGCTTTCTATTATCTTAATTAATTTATATTCAACTTTTTAACTTGTAAACACATTATAACATTTTTAAATATGATAAATCCTTTGAATAAAAAGGTAAATATATACTATTTGAAGTTAAATATTTCTTTACTCCATCTCTATTTTTTATTCTAACTTTTTGATAACTTTTAACATCAAATTATCACATACTTTCTATTAATTATAAGATTTATTTGTATATTTTATTAAATATGAATAAATGTAAAGAAATATGAATAGTCAATTTAATATTTTTGTGATGATGTGGACACTCTAGATGGAGAGAGTAACTCTCCTATTATATATAAGATTCATGGAAAGTGGAACCACTAAAAACAAGTGAACCATAAAATAAGTTAAACTTAAAATTTTGGAGCCATATACAAATTTCTTACAAAAATATCACTAAATAATGGGAGCAATAACATCTCAAAATTTCATGTAAAATATTTTTCATAAAAACAATAGACCTAGTTTATATGAATATTGAAAATTTTCCAAAATAGTATATATGAATATTTAATAAAATTCATATACAGTATAAACTCTATAAATTAATACTCGATAAATTAATAAACACGATAAATTAATAAATTTCTCTGGTCCCGAGTTGGGTCAGTGTAATATATGACACAATTCGATAAGATAATAAGATAATAATTTTTTTTGAAATCCTATGTAAAATATGGTCCCAATAATTATCATAAATTAATAATTATTTTTATTTTTATATATATACACCTAAAATATCTAGGGATTCTTTGAAAAATACCCTCTTTATGTTTAGATTTTTGAAAAATACCCTAATTTTTTTCTGTTTTGCAAAATACACTTTTTGTATGTAAAAAGACTGTTTTAACCTTATTTTAACAAAATATTATTGAATAATTATTAGTTAAATACAAAATTCAAAAATATTATTGTGAATGATATTATTTGTTTTCTTCAGATACATATATGTCAGTTATTTAAATTGAAAATTTAGAAATTGGTAAATCTAGAGAAAGTTTAAAATTTGTCTTCAATAAATTTAATTATTTTTGAAATCTTATATAAACAACTTTAATATCACACTTCATCTTTTATTCATCAAACATTGATCCCATAATATTGAGCAACAAAAAAAGAATACAAAACTTTTTATCAGATAATTATGAATTAATTTTTGTTATCAGTTTAAAATGAAAAAAAATACAATATCAAATCATAATCTTTTATTTTATTGTTTAAATTTTTTTCTATTAGTTAAATTTTTGTTTTAAATTAGTTAGACACTTTAAAGTAGGATAAATTAGTCTTTTTACATATAAAAAGTGTAGTTTTCAAAACCCAAGAAAAACTAAGGTATTTTTCAAAATAAAAACTGATATTAAGGTATATTTCCAAAATTTCTCAAATATCTAACTACTAAAATATGTGTCTCTGAGACACCAAACATATATGGAAATTAAAAGCAAAAAAAGAATTTTAAATAATATGGCAAGTATGAGAAAATGTAAACAATAAAGTAAATATAGAAATATGTGAAAATAATTAAGAAAATATAAAACAATGATTCTTTTTTTTGGAAAATATTTTTAGTCAAAATCTATATATTAATAACTCTATAAATTAATAAAATATCAAAGTCCCGACATTATTAATTTATAGAGTTTCTACTGTAATATGTTATTTTTGAATCCGGGTAAATATTTGATTGCTCCATTTGTACATACTGAAACATTGTTCTGGTAATAACAGATGCACCCCAAAAATAAATTGTAAAAGAAACAAACAAAAATATATTAACATAATTCAAAATACAACGAAGACTAAAAGAGAACAAGAGTACTTATGGTATTATGGAGGAACTTCATAAAACCTTGAAATTGATTGGATTAAAAATGAAACCCAAAATTGATTGAAAACATATATTAACTTTATTGTGTTTAGGCCCTTTAAGAAAAAAATTGTGTTTTGGTAGTTTTCCCATTGATTGTAGTTAACCTTTTTTTTCTTCTTAAAATTAAATATTTGATAATCAATTTTCTTTTATTTTCAGCCATGTTTTACTCTCATTTTTTAATATTAAATTCTTGTAAAAAAATGTGATATAAACATGTCTGTAAAATACTAAACACGTACAAAATTGTAATTAGTTTTTACTTATTTTTTTTAGTCAAAACTTGTTCTGTATTTCTTTATAATACTAAGTGACCCAATAATTTAAATCATCCAACTCTAGTTAATAAACAAGTTTGTGAGATCTGTCATTTAATAATTTTCTTCAATTCCAGCAGAAAGATATGAATTTCAGTGTATTGGCTATGAATACATTTCTAGATTTCTTTCCTAAGTTTGTGATTTCCTTCTGATAATGAAAGATAATAAATTATAGACATTATATATATGTGTGTAACTGATGTGTATCATCTTTGAGTTGTCTATACATTTATGAATAAATAAATATATAAGAGAAAAGAAAAAGCTACTGAGAGTTGAGACTTTATTATCTTATATATTTATTCATCTTAATAAAACTATAATATTTATGAAAATATTTATTTACATTAAATAGGTAAAGTAAAAATTGGATAAAATGTAACATAATATTCGAGTAAAAAATGAATAAAGTCTTATTCCAGATCGGCAATGGGATATGCGTTGTACTGTCACTTATATTATTCATATTGTACAACATATTCTACAAATCGGCGTGATCATAGCAGTTAGGAGTAGTTCAGCTTAAGTTATTGAAGTGGTCTAAGGCTTCTTTTTGCTTATATTTTATTTATATTTTGTTTATATTTTGCATATGTTTTGCTTATTTCTATTAGTTTTTTGAAGATGTAAATTTTAAAAATATCATTTTAATAAAGTAAATTATATTAATTTGACTTATCTGATTATTTTTATTATACTTGTCATAATAATTATCATGTATATATATTCCACTGATCAATATGTAATATATACGCATCATCTTCCACCGAAGAAGAATCAATCTAGCTATTGCTCAAGTCGGCAATACCCTTAAATTTAATCCAAACCTAAATATGCATAATATCATCATTAAGTATTTAATAATAATTGGTAAAACTAATAATTTTCTTGGATAGTCTCATATCCTCAATTATTTTCTTAAGCTTGTAGTAATTATCTTAGGATTTAAGAAATTAAGGGCTCCTTGAGTGTTGTATCTTCCTATGCATCTTCTTGGGACTGTAGATGTTCCTCTTCATTTCGTGTGTATTTGTTGCAGGCATAAATTACCAGTTGCACTAGGTTACTCACTAAGCCCACCACATTTGCAGTCTGTAGACACAAAATCGAAGAGATATGAGGTCAGAAAGATAAACAGTATTATGTACAAAAGAAGGAAAAAAAACAAGACCGTATCAATACTTACCAGTATGGCACTATCGCGTTTTACAAAGCCATAGAGACCCCATGTTGTAGCGTTTAGTGATGAGAATACCAACACCCAAACTGACATATCTTTAACCCTCTTCGTTACTGCCTGAGATCATATAAAGTAACGACCAGTTAATACTAAAGAAAAGGAAACATATAAGTTATAAAAAAATAAAACCGAAAAAGTAATGATTAATAGATTAATATATACTCAGATTCATCCCTAATATATTAAAATAGAAAACACTATCAAAATAACCTTTATCTCATGTGTTATTAACAAAAGTGCCATTGCTTAGGTGTCATCACCAGGTTCACTCTCAGCTCAACTTTTAAATAAGACAACATTTACTAGAAAAATTACAATATATGTCATTGCATATTATGCTTACCATCCCTTTATTATTATTTTCTTTCCTTAAATGGCAATTACGAAAATAAGTAAATAAGGAAGATATGAAATTCCAATTGATTTCTATCATAATAATTTTTTTTAAATCACTATATATCTTCTATCATCTTTGTTTAACTTTATTTTATAAAATAATATGAATCATCATATAAGAAAACTAATAAAGAAAATCTAAATCTTTTTCTGAATATGCTATGATTTGAATTTTTAAAAACAAAATAATGTAAATTGTTTAGTATATAACCTCATTTAGTAGGTATCAAGCAACTTCATATTATTTTTATTCCATTTAATATGGTTTTTAATTAAATTCTATAATAAAACTGAATAATTTTTTTTAATAAATTTTTATTTTGATTAAAAATTTGAATATTACTCCATCTATTTCAACTTTCATTATAAAGTTAATTATATTTTCATTGTTTTAACAATTTAGATTATGCAGATTGTCTTCTTATTGGTTGGATTGTTTTGAAATTATAATAAAGCATGTTTTAATTTTGAAAGACAGAAAAAAATCCATATTTTAGTTTTGAAAGAAAGAAAAAAATGGTTTTAATCCGTGTTTTAGTTTTGAAAGAAGGAAAAAAATTAATTCTAATCCATGTTTTAGTTTTGAAAAAAAAGAAAAAATTGATTTTAATCCGTGTTTTAGTTTTAAAAGAAAAAAAAATTAGTTCTAATATGTGTGCACACAGCTAAGACTTCTTATCTTATGAAATACAGTATAATTTTTTTGTAAAGAATAATGTTTTATTTTCACATTTTTTGTTTTTTAAACTAACTTATTATACTGTAGTCATTTGAGTTTTATGTATCTCGCTTAAATCTATCATATTTAATATATGGCTACATCCAAGACTTTAATCTATTTACCTTTTTAAAAAATAGTAGAAAATGCTTGATTTTCATATTATAAACGAATAAACGAAGACAATAATCTAACAAAGATTAAAAATCCGTCGCATAAAATTTTGAGATATATTTAAATAAACATCTTTTAATAAAAATACAAATTCAGAAACCATCACCCCGTGCAGGGCGCGGGTCAAACCCTAGTATAGCATTAGTTTTCGAAGCTTTTCAGGTTTGATTCTTACCATAATTGCTCCATTAGATGTACATAACAACGGTGGATAGTGCACAAACAAGACCTAGCCATTCCGCTCCTGCCGCAATAATTGCTATAATTGGGATAACCACGTTAACAACCACAACCACGAGTGATGTTATGAGCTGAGGGAAAAAAAATGCACGAGTTTTAGTTTTGACATAAAAATAATAAAAAGGATATAATACAATTATATATACAACAAACAGTTTAGCTTGGATATTACTTAAGCTTTTAGGCCCTAAGAGTATGAAAGTACCAACATAACAGACTTGATGAGCAAGGAAACTAACTCCATTGATAGCATAGACGACAATTTCACGGGTAATCCACCCATAGTACGTCCTTAACGTCGTGTTCAGCAACGCACAGACGTACTGAACATAACTCTGACCCTCCGTCGATCTAGTAGTCCTCCAAATCGTCTTAAACGTCATGCTAAACGTACATTTACTAGTAGAATACCCGCGCAAACGCGGGTGTGACGTTGCGGTTTTGTAAAGAAAATCTAAATTTTAAATCTAAGCCCGATTCAAAAACTCTAATAAAAATATTTTAAAAACCCAAACTTTTTTGATATGTCTAAACCCGAAAATCTGAAATCTAAAAAATCCCGAACACTCTCGACCGAATAAACAAAACTCTAAATTTTTTGAACCAAAACCCGAACCCGAGAATTAATCCAAAATCATATTCTATTGATTTTGGTATTATCGATAAATTATGTTAAGTTTTTTTCTCAGATTTTTAAAAGCTGGAAAATGGAATTTTTTAAACCATCAGTTTGTTTTAAGTTATTATTTTTGTATCCAAACAAATTTTTCCATTTATTCTTCTATCCAAATAGCTTTTTCTCTTATTCTTGTATCCAAACATTACAATGTACAAAATTGACCCTCATTAAACGTGTTCCCAAACACTTTCTCTTCATAATTAGATTGGTTTTTTGGTCAGAAAAAATTCATGTACTTTTCAATTAATAAAATAAAGATAAATCAGAATTTAATAACAGCTATTTCTTGCATATATATATCAATAATCAGTTAAACTTTATCTTATATATAATAGGAGAGTTGCTCTCTCCTTGTAACATCCATAAACCAAAAATTGGGAATTTCGTTGGTTCAATTTAAGTGATTTGGTTTAGGCTGGTTTAGTGGAGAAAGCCCTGGTTTGTGAAATAAAAGTGAGGAGCTATCTCTTTTTGTAATTTTATAGGTGAACAGTAACAGAAAAGAAAGAGAGGTTTCAAGGAGAAATTATGAGATTTTGGAGCAGATTTTGTTACTGTTCATCGGGTACTGTTCATCGGGTACTGTTCATCGGGTACTGTTCATGGGGGTACTGTTCATCGTCGGGATTCGCACTGTTCATTGTCTTTCCTTCAGTTTCAATCCATTGTCAAGGTGAGTGCATGACTGTGGGTCCGCGATTTGCTAGATTAGATTTGGTTTGTGGTTGTTCTTGATGAGTTTATGTGTTTAATTGTTATTTCATGTATTTTGGTTGTTTCTGTGATGAATTGTGTGTTTGTGTGGTTTAATCTGGTTTAATTGAATTAATTGGTTTATCTTGGTTTAAATTGATTTGATTCTGGTTAATTGGTGTGTTAATTGGTGTAATTGAATTAAAATGTTTTAATTCAAATTGTTTGATTTATTTTCGGATTTAATTAATTAATGGTTAATTTAATTAATTAATTGATTTAAAATAATTATTTTAAAATATGGAAAATTATTATTTAATTATAAGAATTATTTAATAATTGAGAAATGAGTTTTAATTATTAATAATTGGAAAATGGTATTTAATAATTATTGGAGTTTATAAATATTATTAAATATCTAGTAAATTGCGTAAATGGCTCGTAGGCAGAGTGATTGCCTCACTAAGTATTTATTAAATACTTACGCAACTCCATTCCAATGTGTTGCAGGTAAAAGATTTGTGTGATCGCGGAATCAAGGCTGAAGAGGGGGATGATAGGATGTTTATTGTTTTATTGTTTTGCATTGTTTGCTAGACTTGTTTAATTATTATTTGCTTCCGCTGAACTGATTTATTTGTTATTGATATTTTATTTATTTAATTTATTTTAAAGACCTTCGCTAGAATTGATTAGTATTTATTTATTATAAAAAAAAAAGTGTTGGTTGTTTCATTTTGGTATCAGAGCCTAGACGGTTTTAGGACTGTTAGGGTGTAATAAGTATCATCCCCTTCAGCTACAAGAGATTCCGCGGTGAGTTTATGTTTGTTTTGAGTTTTGGTTATGTGTTCTAGTGTACTCTTTTTGGTTCCATGAGTGAGATGGACTAGTAGCTAGAGGTTGTAGCGCGAGAGGGCGCGGTTGCTTGAGGCCGTGGAGGCCGGGGCCGAGGTCGTGGTATTCCGGCGGATTCGGGAGAGAGTGTGCGCCTAGTGTGGCGACTGCGTCGGTGACCCAGTCAGTATCCATGGCGGGTGAGGCCAGTGTGGATGCTAGTGTTGGTTTGGGAGCGGGGCTGCTCCGGGTGGGGGTGGCGTTTCGGCTCCTGGTTGATGACTTAGTGGTGGGTTGCTGACGCAGCTATTGGCTCGTTTTCCGCCAGTGGTTCCACAGGGGGCTCCGGGAGTACTCCAGTGGCAGTAGTGCAGCATGTGGCTACAGATGTTGTGCAGCCGGGGGCTGCATATGCGGGTGTCACGATACTTGGAGTTTATGGGACATATGTAGAGGTTGGGTACGCCTTTCTTCGAGGGGCGAGTTGGTCCAGAGGAGGCAGAGATTGGAGCGGAACTTTCAGTCGATACGTTGTCCAATGGAGTACTGAGTGGAGTTAGCGGTCCACTATTTGAGTGGCGATGCCCATTTGTGGTGGCAGGCCGCTGTGGGCCGGAGGGAATTTTGGACTTGGGGCGACTTCCTTGGGGAGTTCAACGCCAAGTATTTCCCGAGACAGGCTCGTGAACGTCTTCAGATGCGGTTTATGGACATTGAGCAAGGTTCGCGTTCTGTACGTGAGTATGATGCGGAGTTCAGCCGTCTGTTAGTGCATGCGGGCTTTGGCATGGAGGCTGAACATCAGTTGACGAACAGATTTCTGGAGGGATTTCGCAAGGATATCCGGACGCTATGCAGAAGTAGTATGCATCGCGGCAGCAGCAGCAGACGGCACAGCCACCGAACCACTGGCCCACTCAAATCCGCCTCTACCGACGCGGCCAACTCTACCAGACTCGCCCTCGAAGTGTGCATACTACTTCTGCATAGCGTCCGAATATCCTTGCGAAGTCCCTCCAGAAATCTGTTCGTCAACTGATGCTCAGCCTCCATGCCAAAGCCCGCATGCACTAACAGACGGCTGAACTCCGCATATACTCGCGTACAAAACGCGAACCCAGCTCAATGTCCATAAACCGCATCTGAAGACGATCACGACCCTGTCTCGGGAAATACTTGGCGTTGAACTCCCCAAGGAAGTCGCCCTAAGTCCAAAATGCCCTCCGGCCCACAGCGGCCTGCCACCACAAATGGGCATCGCTACTAAATAGTGGACCGCTAACTCCATCCAGTACTCCATCGGACAACGGATCGACTAAAAGTTCTGCTCCAATCTCTGCCTCCTCTGGACCGACTCGCCCCTCGATGAAAGGCGTACCCAACCTCTGCATGTGTCCCATAAACTCCAAGTACCCACCCGCATCTACAGCCCCCGGCTGCACAACATCTATAGCCACATGCTGCACTCCTGCCACTGGGTACTCCCGGAGCCCCCTGTGGAACCACTGGCGGAAAACGAGCCAACAGCTGCATCAGCAACCCCACCACTAAGTCATGACCAGGAGCCAGAAGCGCCACCCCCACCCGGAGCAGCCCCGCTCCCAAACCAAACTAGCATCCCACTGGCCTCACCCACCATGGATACTTACTGGGTCACCGACGCAGTCGCCACACTAGGCGCCACACTCTCTCCCGAATCCGCCGGAATACCACGACCTCGGCCCCGGCCTCCACAGCCTCAAGTACCGCGCCCTCTCGCGCTACAACCTCTAGCTATTCAGTCCATCTCACTCATGGAACCAAAAAGAGTACACTAGAACACATAACCAAAACTCAAAACAAACATAAACTCACCGCGGAATCTCTTGTAGCTGAAGGGGATGATACTATTACACCCTAATATTCCTAAAACCGTCTAGGCTCTGATACCAAAATGAAACAACCAACATTTTTTTTTATAAATAAATAAATATTAATCAATTCTAGCGAAGGTCTTTAAAATAAATTAAATAAATAAAATATCAATAACAAATAAATCAGTTCAGCGGAAGCAAATAATAATTAAACAAGTCTAGCAAACAATGCAAAATAATAAAACAATAAACATCCTATCATCCCCCTCTTCAGCCTTGATTCCGCGATCACACAAATCTTTTACCTGCAACACATTGGAATGGAGTTGCGTAAGTATTTAATAAATACTTAGTGAGGCAATCACTCTGCCTACGAGCCATTTACGCAATTTACTAGATATTTAATAATATTTATAAACTCCAATAATTATTAAATACCATTTTCCAATTATTAAATAATTATTAATAATTAAAACTCATTTCTCAATTATTAAATAATTCTTATAATTAAATAATAATTTTCCATATTTTAAAATAATTAAAATAATTATTTTAAATCAATTAATTAATTAAATTAACCATTAATTAATTAAATCCGAAAATAAATCAAACAATTTGAATTAAAAATTAATTCAATTACACCAATTAACCAGAATCAAATCAATTTAAACCAAGATAAACCAATTAAATCAATTAATTCAATTAAACCAGATTAAACCACACAAACACACAATTCATCACAGAAACAACCAAAATACATGAAATAACAATTAAACATATAAACTCATCAAGAACAATCACAAACCAAATCTAATCTAGCAAATCGCGGACCCACAGTCATGCACTCACCTTGACAATGGATTGAAACTGAAGGAAAGACAATGAACAGTGCGAATCCCGACGATGAACAGTACCCCGATGAACAGTACATTGATGAACAGTAACGAAATTGCTCCAATATCTCAGAATTTCTCCTTGAAACCTCTCTCTCTTTTCTGTTACTATTCACCCATGAAAATTACAAAAAGGAGGCAGGTCCTCACTTTTATTTCACAAACTAGGGCTTTCTCCACTAAACCAGCCTAAACCAAATCACTTAAATTGAACCGACGAAATTCCCAATTTTTGGTTTATGGATGTTACACTCCTCCTAGGCTATCCACATCAGCAAAAAAATCATTAATTGTATTTAGGATATTTAATACTCCCTCCGTATCAAATTAATTGTCGTTTTGGAAAAATGTATATGCAAATATTTGGACGTATCTGCAATGCAAAACACGTCCAGATAAGTCCAAATATTTGTAGATACATTTTGCCAAAATGACAACTAATTTGAAACGGAGGGAGTATATGTGTATTAATATATTTTTTTATATTCCTATTTTACACATAAACAAAAAGTACACGCTCCTATTATATATAAGATTTCATTGCAACAAAAAGTATGAAAATTTTAAGATTACATGTTTGTTTCAAAAATACAATTTATATTTATAAAACTAACATAATAGAAAATAATCAATTTTCATATGCTACCACAACAAAGCATATATGTAAGAAGTTATACATGTTTTTATTTTCATCATATTTTGAGTGCAATTGCGATTCTACACCGTGTTTACAAATTTTAACATTGAGTCAAATGCATATTAAATTTTCGAAATAGAAAACTCGAGATGAAGTAAGATGTTAATATCTTAATAAAAAAAATTGATCATATTATTAGTGTTAATAGTTGGGTTAACTCAAAATATAACCAAAACATGGAAGTTAACATATAACCATCATAGTTCAAAATTTCAAATCAATGAATATAAATAAAATCAAACATAAAAATTATCGCAAACAATCTCACGCTTGTCCGGGGCTTTAATCCCTTGTGTATATAAGTTTAGAGCACTACCACACGGGAGAGACCAAGAAAGCAAGCGAGAATAGAACTCCTGCATGCATAGCAACACAAGAGAAGAATAAGGGCTATATATCTAGCTATTTGCGCAAAACAATTACATAAAATAGAAAGAAAAATCCGTGGGGAAATATATAAAAAGATGAATACTCTCACCAATGATACCGAGGACTGTGATGAATTCCATCGAAATGTTTGTACGAAAAGGCAAGAACAAAGAAGAAATTCCGATGTGCGTACTAAGAATATGGTAGGGAGATACAAGAGATAGCTAGCAAAACATGTCAATATATAGGGTAGATAAAGTAAGTCTTACCTGCTACTTTCTACGAATGCCGTGTTATTGTATTACGTCTACGTTTCATCCATAAACTTGAATGTTATACGTCTTAATTTGTAAGAAAACAAGAAAATTTAATTTAGATTTAAACGAAAGTAGCTATTAACATTCCTGTTTAAAACATCTACTTTTCATTTTTCAAAGTAGAACTATTTTGAGAAAGAGGTGAGTGCGTGCTAGGACTCCGATGTAGAACACGATGCATGCATCTCCCATCCACCATCGATCCTACGGTCACCATTTTAGATTCGAATTCACATTTATTACTGATAACAACGATCTCAATTCATTATCAAGAGTGCATACTGTGAAATTCCCAAAATTGCAAACAAAAATTCAAAAAAACAATGGTATTTGGTTTGAGAAGTTTCATATGTCATAAAAAAAGTGTGTATCATATATATTAATATATATAGATGTGTTGGAGAGAGAAGAGAGAGTCAATCAAAAGTAGTGATCTTGAGGAGAGTTCTTATTAAACTATTCAACAAACGAAAAAAGTCTCTTCAACTAGATTATGGACATCACATGAGAAAAATTAATACATGTTTGAGTCACTAAAAAAGAGTATATATTGATAATCAAGCCCATTATATACGTACATCAATCTTCTCTGAGTCTTTGCATTAACAAATATTTTAACCAATTATATTTGGAAGCAAGTATATATCTTAATTTAACTTCGCTTATTTATGAGTTCATTGCATTTTAAATTGAATACGTTTTGAATGTGTATTTACCTCGTACGTAAACGATGACTCATGAACAACATTGTGTCTATCGTCATCAAGTCTCACTATGACTGCTGAACCATTTTCAAATCATATTTGCTCTTAAGTACGTAGGTAGAAACTTAGCCACTTAGGATTAGTAGGTATATTAGTAAAAAGTATTGTACTGATATATATTACCGAAGAGTGGTGAAAAATAATTTGATATTAGTCACATTTTCATGGTAAATAACTAAATATTATTTGAAGGGATATTTAGAAATAATATGTTTTTGAGAAAATTAGTCAGAGTAGTACTCATTCAACGGTTTATTACTAATCTAGCATCCATACAAATATTCTAACAAATATGTTTTTCAACATCTATAAACAACGAGTATAATTTTTCTTCTTTTGTTTTGGTTTTCACATGGAATAAGGAGAAAACAAATTTCCACTCTATTCCTTTTGATTGGTTGTTAAACTTTTTTCCGTTCACAATCTGTTTCTGCTATAAGTTCCGAAAATGATTAATGCATGGACGTATTATTTTGACATTTGTCAAATTCATACTATCTTGAGAAGGAGATGAGTGCGTGCCTACGGTGTCTATGATTGTTAGTTAAGTGACGATTGTAACTCATCATCATAATATATATGTTGACCGCTCACAGAAAATTCCCAATATAATAAACAAAAATATACTATTTCCATGCCTCAAAAAGTCAAAAATCTCACCAAACTGGTTCAGAAGTCGTCACAGACAACCGCATCAACACACTTGGAGAAAGAGGGAAAATGCAGTTTAATGTTCGCTGGCACTAAGAGAAGAAACTCATATATATAGGAAACGCATTTAGAAAAGTTGAGATCACTTCAGAGGGCACGATTTTTACTACTTTCTGGTGATGCTTCTCCATCAATGACAAAACGAGTTTCTGAGGATCGATTTCATTCAGTGTACCTGCAAAATCAGTACCTGTTAATAACTTGTTTTTTTTCTTAATTAATCTTGTTGGCTTGTTGTGAGAAGCAACTTACCCAAATCAATGTCACGCTCATCATCTTCTTCATCCACCTCTTCAATAACTTCACCCTCTTCCAATGCTGCTGCAGCTTTAGCATACCTTTCCAGAAATTCTTCCTCCGTTTCGTCACATTCACTCTCAGAGTCCTGTTCAAAGACAACATGAAACAGCTTATTTGGAAAAGAAACAAATCACAAGAAGATCCAATGCTGTTTCTTGAAACCAGCCGATTATATAAACTACTTTGCAAATGGAACAGAAATTTGATTCCTCTTCATATGAGTTTATATTTACATAATAAATTCTGATATCGCCCACAAACATACTTTGAATGTAATTCAATAATGAGTACTAACAATTAAAATCCAAACCTCGTTATTTGAATCAGTCTCTTCAGATTCTGTCTCTTCTTCAGGTTCTCCATCATCTTCACCATCGTCTGTTTCTTCCTCCATTTCCTCTAGCCTCCGAGAAGCCTCCATCAATGAAACAAAGCACCTTCTTGCCAAATCATCATTTGCATTCCCATGTCTTACATCTAAAAGCTGCTCGATCACCTTAACTAGCGTCATCACTGAAACAAAAGGTCTTTTAGTTATGCTCATGCATTTATTAATATATACAACTAACCTTTATAAGATCATGTGACCAGTTAAGCAGAGGTTTAATCTTTTGAACTGTAACTGTACGTTTTTGATCATTCTGAATCATCAGCACAGAGAGGAAAGATTTATCTACTCACCATACAGCTTTACTTCCGGTTCTGTTGATGGTCTGGCATCAAACGTAAGTGAGTATGACAATGCCAATGAAGATACCCACAACTCGAAACCTCCAGATATCACTTTCTCTAAGACGTCTTCCACAATATCGGAATAGCAGATATAGCATGATGATATTGCCAGCAACAGAGGCCTCCACAATGAACAAGGCTTCTCACGCAATTCCAGAAAGTGAGAAAAGGCTGCTTCACT